ACGTTAATACTAAAGTGATGGCAAATTCTCTATCATCGGAATGTGGGGGAAGTGGTGCTGCAGCTATGGTGACGGCGGCACTGAGGAAGGCGATGAAATCTCGAGATAAACAGTGTGACCTTTTGAGGTGATTACAGTGAAGCGTTGATTTGAAAGCTGATTGATTTTGCGTGGTTATCGCTAGTTGGTGTGAGCACACGTTTAGGCGAGCAAAAGTCGATTACATAACGAAAGTCTTTGATGTTGCGAATCAATACTACATTTAACAGGATGTAGATCTGAATCACGAAACGTTACTTTTCCAAAACGGGTTTCGGACTCGTATCGACTTGCTGGATGTGTTGGTGACTACAAGTCATGACAGTGGTGCTATGCTGGCATAAGCAAACACATGGAAAATGAATCTTAAGAGTTGTGAGGTTGAGCATTTGTCGCCGTTTGACCCTGTTCTGATTCAACACGAATGTGCTGATGTTGAATATGGGCTCAGTTCGGTTACCGTGCCTACAAGCGCACACAAAGCTCATCTCTGCACGCAGCATTGGTGGAGTGTCTGACGACGTTTCGGATCGTTTTTGTTCTGGCGAAAAGAAATCAGAAGTGACTACATTGGCGCCATGGTGAATGGACTCAGTAGGGTTTGTCGTACGTGAGGTTCATAGAAGAAAGTAGGCTTGACGGCGAATCCATCGAGCAAAGTAAGACCGTACTTTTACAGGATCATTTCTATAGTACCTTCTTTTCTACTTGACTTTCCTAGTAGACAACCTCAATAACTTTGATGATCGTAGTCGACTTCATTCATTGACTCGGGATGTTGGTGGTAGTGCTGGGCTCTCTCTTGAACTTGGCCTTCCCCATTGATGAACGTCCGCTGTCGCTATTCCAAGGCAGCGTGAGTGAGTGGAGTGATATGAGAAGTTGTGGAGCTCCTTATACTACGTTTGTTCTCTGCTTAATATTTCGTCCCACATTAATTGAACTCTGCTCGTAATTGAATCCCTATACTGGATTCGATCCCCACACTCAATTCGATCCCCATACTCGATTCGATCTCTGTACTCGATTTGATCTCTGTACTTAATTTGACCCATATAATCAATTTGATCCATTCATGTACTTTTGTTGACCCCTGTACATGCTCGGTTCCCATACGATAGCTGAGCACTAGCCTTATCCATGATGTACCGAACAGAACAGTGCGGCACTACATTAACATACCAATACGACACACGATGGCACGCCTCTGTTCCTTTTCGATCGAACGTTTCAAAACGACATCATATCCCTGTATACGGACCTTCTTTGCAGCAAGAAACAGTTCACGACGACACGATCATGTATATTCATACACAATTACATGCAGAAGTTGATGTTCGCAGAGCATAATCATCCCATACATACCTGTAATCTACATCGGAGGAATAGCGAAAGTTGAGCTGCTACATCATTTTTCAGAGAAACAAACGACACGAAGGCGTAAGATTCCCGATAATACGGAATGGTGATGAAAGAAGCAGAACAGCATTTCTTGTACGTGTGTAACGCATATTTCGATTGACCTTGTACGAAGGCGGCAATGCAATTTCTGATTGAAGTCAAAAAGGGCAGATTGTAATCGGATGCAAAAGTACAGATGAAGCATCCGTCTATGCTGGATATCGTAGAGACGGTATCGTGCGCCAAGAAGTAGGTCGAAATCGTCCATACGATAAAATTCTGGAGCGTACGTTGAGGTCATTCTGTGAAATATTAGCGAAGAAATGGGGCCAAAAGGAAAGAGTATAGAACGACTCCGACAGTCGTATACGCGTGCGTTTTTGCTCCAAACAAGTTTACATAGGGTTCTTGTAGCATCATCGTTGCAAGGCGGCTGACTACTTGGTATCTTGTTTCCTGTTCTTTTCATTATCTGGTGGACGTTAATACTAAAGTGATGGCAAATTCTCTATCATCGGAATGTGGGGGAAGTGGTGCTGCAGCTATGGTGACGGCGGCACTGAGGAAGGCGATGAAATCTCGAGATAAACAGTGTGACCTTTTGAGGTGATTACAGTGAAGCGTTGATTTGAAAGCTGATTGATTTTGCGTGGTTATCGCTAGTTGGTGTGAGCACACGTTTAGGCGAGCAAAAGTCGATTACATAACGAAAGTCTTTGATGTTGCGAATCAATACTACATTTAACAGGATGTAGATCTGAATCACGAAACGTTACTTTTCCAAAACGGGTTTCGGACTCGTATCGACTTGCTGGATGTGTTGGTGACTACAAGTCATGACAGTGGTGCTATGCTGGCATAAGCAAACACATGGAAAACGAATCTTAAGAGTTGTGAGGTTGAGCATTTGTCGCCGTTTGACCCTGTTCTGATTCAACACGAATGTGCTGATGTTGAATATGGGCTCAGTTCGGTTACCGTGCCTACAAGCGCACACAAAGCTCATCTCTGCACGCAGCATTGGTGGAGTGTCTGACGACGTTTCGGATCGTTTTTGTTCTGGCGAAAAGAAATTAGAAGTGACTACATTGGCGCCATGGTGAATGGACTCAGTAGGGTTTGTCGTACGTGAGGTTCATAGAAGAAAGTAGGCTTGACGGCGAATCCATCGAGCAAAGAAAGACCGTACTTTTACAGGATCATTTCTATAGTACCTTCTTTTCTACTTGACTTTCCTAGTAGACAACCTCCTTAACTTTGATGATCGTATTCGACTTCATGCATTGACTCGGGATGTCGGTGGTAGTGCTGTGCTCTCTTTGAGACTGGCCTCCTCCGTTGATGAACGTCCGCTGTCGTTATTCCAAGACAGCGTGAGCGTGTGAAGTGATATGAGAAGTTATGGAGCTCCTTATGCTACGTTTGGTCTCTGCTTAATATTTCCTCCCACACTAACTGAACTCTGCTCGTAATTGAATCCCTGTACTGGATTCGATCCCCACACTCAATTCGATCCCCATACTCGATTCGATCTCTGTACTCGATTTGATCTCTGTACTTAATTTGACCCACACAAATCAATTTGATCCATTCATGTACTTTTGCTGACCCCTGTACATGCTCGGTTCCCATACGATAGCTGAGCACTAGCCTTGTCCATGATGTACCGAACAGATCAGTGCGGCACTACATTAACATACCAATACGACACACGATGACACGCTTCTGTTCCTTTTCGATCGAACGTTTCAAAACGACATCATATCCCTGTATACGGACCTTCTTTGCAGCAAGAAACAGTTCACGACGACACGATCATGTATATTCATACACAATTACAGGCGGAAGTTGATGTTCAAAGAGCATACTCATCCCATACATACCTGTAATCGATATTGGAGGAATAGCGAAAGTTGAGCTGCTACATCATTTTTCAGAGAAACAAACGACACGAAGGCGTAAGATTCCCGATAATACGGAATGGTGATGAAAGAAGCAGAACATCATTTCTTGTACGTGTGTAACGCATATTTCGATTGACCTTGTACGAAGGTGGCAATGCAATTTCTGATTGAAGTCAAAAAGGGCAGGTTGTAATCGGATGCAAAAGTACAGATGAAGCATCCGTTTATGCTGGGTATCGTAGAGACGGTATCGTGCGCCAAGAAGTAGGTCGAAATCATCCATACGATAAACTTCAGGAGCGTACGTTGAGGTCATGCTGCGAAATATTAGCGAAGAAATGGGGCCAAATGGAAAGAGTATAGAACGACTCCGACAGCCGTATATGCGTGCGTTTTTGCTCCAAACAAGTTTACATAGGGTTCTTGTAGCATCATCGTTGCAAGGCAGCTGACTACTTGGTATCTTGTTTCCTGTTCTTTTCATCATCTGGTGGACGTTGATACTAAAGGGATGGCAAATTCTCTATCATCGGAATGTGGGGGAAGTGGTGCTGCAGCTATGGTGACGGCGGCACTGAGGAAGGCGATGAAATCTCGAGATAAACAGTGTGACCTTTTGAGGTGATTACAATGAAGCGTTGATTTGAAAGCTGATTGATTTTGCGTGGTTATCGCTAGTTGGTGTGAGCACACGTTTAGGCGAGCAAATGCCGATTACATAACGAAAGTCTTTGATGTTGCGGATCAATGCTACATTTAACAGGATGTAGATCTGTACCACGAAACGTTACTTTTCCAAAACGGGTTTCGGACTCGTATCGACTTGCTGGATGTGTTGGTGACTACAAGTCATGACAGTGGTGCTATGCTGGCATAAGCAAACACATGGAAAATGAATCTTAAGAGTTGTGAGGTTGAGCATTTGTCGCCGTTTGACCCTGTTCTGATTCAACACGAATGTGCTGATGTTGAATATGGGCTCAGTTCGGTTACCGTGCCTACAAGCGCACACAAAGCTCATCTCTGCACGCAGCATTGGTGGAGTGTCTGACGACGTTTCGGATCGTTTTTGTTCTGGCGAAAAGAAATCAGAAGTGACTACATTGGCGCCATGGTGTATGGACTCGGCAGGGTTTGTCGTACATGAGGTTCATAGAAGAAACTAGGCTTGACGGCGAACCCATCGAGCCAAGTAAGACCGTACTTTTGCAGGATCATTTCTATAGTACCTTCTTTTATACTTGATTTATTGTCTGACAGAACCGTAAATTTTTTTTAGTGCTATTCTGACGAGCCTTTAACGTACTAAGCGTATTTATTTAGGTTCTTATTCTTTCGGACGCTTCGTATAATTACGCGTTTTTGGTGACCAGAACGGGAACAACGGGAGCGATTACCATCAACCGATAGTGAGTGCTCCACAGCCAGTCATTCAAGTCTCGCCATCGACTTGTCCTTTTACGACGCGTCGTCTGACGCTGAGACGGTACTGGCGGGCGGTTTGGAAACAGCTGTTATTTCAGGGATGTACGTTCAACCGTCGTTTCACGACCCCTCGACTATTGATTCCGGGTCTGGTCAGCAGCTCGACGCTAACTGGCCGTAAAAGGAAAATGTAAATTTAACTCCTTTTTTTGCCCTTGTTTTCGTTGGCGGATGGCCAGCACGTGCCAACACGCGCGCACGCGCAACTCGGCGGGGATGCATCCGCCGGCGCTGCAGCTTCAGGTACGTGTCTGAAACCATCTACGCCTATTGCACGTGCAAGGATTTGCAAGAGGACACTCGCGGCGACGAGGACACGTCCCAATATTCCTCTCCAACCTCGCGTCATTTAAAGGATCGGGACGTGCCCGATCGACCTCCGCCCCCGTCACTCGGGCGAGGATCCGACCAGGCACTTACGGTAGTGACCCCAACGTCACAAGCCAACATTCTGGGCACCAGCACCCTCGCTTCGTGTCTAGATGACCCCCTCTCCGCTGGCCCCTACGAGGCTTCGATCACTATGTCCGCGCTGTCTTCGCGCCGTCTGGCTTTGCCGGGGTCCCGGCCGGTCCCGTACCGGTTCTTCGTCGACGAAGACGCCCGTTTGTTTGCTGTGGTACCCGGCAGGGCGGGCGCCATGCTGCCTTTCCAATTTCCGGAACGCGACGTGCATAAACTTCAGAGCATTGGCTCCCGGGGCTCCCAGACGCCTTGCCCGGGTCCTGCAACGTCCCTGACGCCTCCTGACAACCTAAAACTTGCCTCAACGCGCGCCTGTGGTTTACGAGACGAAGATGCGATTGTTTTTGTACCCGGCAGGGCGGGCGTTACTCTGCCCCACCAGGTGTCACTCCACGATCTACAAGGGCACGAGAGCAATGGATCTCCGGGTGCTACCACGTAGCATCCGTGTACAGCGACAAAGATTGGTTACATGCACACCTTACCGAGTGCCCCCCCTCCAGATGTAAGAGCGGCCCAGGACATGCACGTTGCCGATGCTGGGCCCGGAGGGGTGGCAAGCATGATGCCTGAACGGGTCCAGGATACGCCGCCTCAGAGCGACAGCTCCCCGGGTTCCGAAAGCTTGCCCCTGGGTCCTGCCACGTACCTGATGCCCCTTCCCAGCCGTCCCTCTCACCCCCGCCAAACTCGCCGCCGATCCTGACCAAGAGCGAAATTAATTCGTACCCGGCATGGCGAGACGATTGCTGTCCGCGGGATCGGCGCTTGTAGCCGCTACGCGGCTAGCGCGCTGGGTGTTTACCATGACCCCAGTGACCCCGATTTCGTTGGTAGCAGCGACGTGGAGGTGCTCGATGACTCCAGCATTGCCGACGACGACTTCTTTGATGTCTATGATGACGACCAGCTTGGCCCGGTGGCCGGCGAGCTGCCTTACCAAGCTGGATCCACTGCAGTGGCCGCGGGTCCTCACGAGACTGTGTCGACTGCAGTATCTATCTTCGTCCCATTACCATTTGACGACCGACTCGGCGGGCAGACCCACATACTGCCTTCTCGAGTAGGATATGATGAACACACGTCTATTGCACAGGGTGCCATGTCCAGTGCCTTTAACCTGGACATGGCACACGTCCACCACCAGCTCGCCGTCACTTCTCGTGTACTGGGTCCTCGAATTGATCAATCCCAGCCTGAATCCAGACAGCAGGACACGGCCCTTTCAGTGTACACCCACGACGCACCCGCACTTATATGCACGTTGTGTGCGTACACTGCATGTGATATGTCAGCGCTGGCCTCTCATCGACGGACCACCCACCGTGGCTTCTGCTTCGTGGATCCTTCACAGCGGATGCACGCGTGGGATCGGTCACAGGACACGTGCAGCTGCAACCAAGCATGTACTAGGGTGTCGCGACAGTCCATAGTACACCCCTTTGGCTGCACGTGGTCTTCCTGTTCCATATTCGGCGCGCGGTCTTTCTCGTTTCCTGTTCCTTGTTGTCTGCTTTGGTCGACGAGGTGTCCCTTGCACCTACCGGGATCCTCTTTATGGCTACATCTGTGGGTGCAGCAGTTGCATCAAGCAGCACTGAGCCCGCAGATGTAACCCCATATCTGAGCACCGTGCCTGCCCCCACTGTTGGCGAACAAGCTTGGCACCTGCATGCCCCCCCCCGTGCGGTGCCCATCGACATCGCCACCACATATTCGGGTTGCCGAAAAGCGCCGTTGTTTAAACAGCGCTGAAGACGCGCTTCCCGATCCAGACTGGGACATGGACTCTTGTGCTTCTGTGCATGTCGACCTAGCTCGATGCCAGGACGGGGTCACCATGATATAGATATTTTAGGTGACGATGATTCGAAATTTCACGTGGGTTTTTCTCGTTTACCTGTGGATCACGATGCGTCTCTGACTGCAGAGGGTGCTGCTGTCTCCGATCGATATTCGGCGGGTGCGGACTCATCCCCATCCCTGGCAGTGTCCCGACCGCTGACCTCTGTCGCGTCCAGCACTCGTGCTACGCGGTGGGGGCCACGTCACGGCACGATCAGGTCTACTGTGGGTGGCCCCCCTGTTGCTAATATCCCGGCTTGTCCTTCTCCTTCCTCTCGGGTGGCTGTTTTGGCTGAGCCCCGACGGACCATGACTCGTTGAGGCCTCCGGTTGGTAGTGACGCTACCCGTCACTGGACAAATGACTCGCAATAAATGGACACCCTCCGTCGAACGCACTGCACCTCCAGCTACCGTTCCTCTTGCTCCTTCGCCGCTGCTTCCTCCACCACCCCGCCGGTGGTAGATACCGATGATGATTTTTGGATTCCTAACCCCTGGCTTCTGCAATTTGACGGTGCTTGCAGACGGAACCCTGGACAAGGGGGAGCTGGTGCCGCTCTCTTCGACTCGAGCGGAACCGTGGTGTGGACGTGCTCTAACTTTCTCACCGCCAGCACTGAGACGAACAACACTGCTGAATACACAGCTCTGCTGGTGGAGTGGAAAGCGCAGTCCGCCATGTTGCCACGCGATTGCTCAATGAAGGCGACAGCAACTTGGTGCTGGCATAAGTGCGCGGCTCGTCCAGCTGCAACAACTGACGGCCCAGGCGTTTTCGAGGTCACGTGCGAACGGAGTTAGGTTGCCTTGAATGGCATCAAATTCGGCATATTGATAGGCAATCAAATGCCCACGCCGACCGCCTTGCTAACCGTGCGCTTGACCTCCGACGCACCGCCGTGGAGTGTGGCCCTCACTCATGCGTCATGGATAGCTTACGCCTGCTTCCGCTAAGCCAGCTGCTTCTGCACTGGTAGAGCCATCACCTTCTACTGATATCTCTTGTGTCGATGGCATGATGGTGGATGCAGCCGGTCTTGACATTGACGCCGAAATTGCTAGTCGTGATGGAGGGTGAGGTCTTTCTTACTCTGTCTATTGGCTCAGGCCCATCTCCCGAGCGGCACCCTCGGCTTCGGACGCGTCAATTGACCGAGGCAAAGCACGACACCACTGCTGCCGCTGTGCAACTGTTTGCTGAAGTCTTGGCGAGGAAGATTGTCGATGCTAGCTGGGTCAAAGGCGAGGGATACATCTCTGCCATCCCTGACCGCCTTCGGGAAGTCCTATAGCCTTATTCTGTGGTACAAGTCACTGCTGTGCCTCCAAACCACACTAAGCCACGCCAGCAGCGCCGACTTCCGCCTCGAGTGACGCGCACTCAGCGTGAACACCGGCTGGACGAGGCGCTTGATGACTTGCAGGCAACCCAGCAGGCGCCTCCAAGTGACCGGAAAGCAGCCCGGAAGGCCAGGCGTCGGGTGGGAAGGGTTCGTGCTTCGATGGACCAACTGTACTTGTGTCGGGATTTCTCCAAGGACGAAGCCAAGTGTGTGGCCAATATTTGGACGGTGCCTCAGCGGAGACTGCTGGTATCGAGCACCCAGCCACCTGCCACATTGGTAGGGAAGATCTCCACCGTCATTTTTTGGGCACTAGTACGGCCCCAGCTCCCTTGAACTATGATGCTGCTGAAGGTAACGAGTTTAAGGCCGTGCTGAATGATTTTTCGATGAAAAATTTGGGTGGTGATTGTCTCGATGAAATTTTTTCGATGGATGAAGCGGAGGACCAGCTACTGCGGGCTACCAAGGCAACCTGGCCCGGTCATGATGGAATTGGCTACGATGTTATTTGTCGGTTTGCTTCGCAGTTGGTACCGCTTCTGTATGCCGCGTGCCAGTTCTGCTGGCTGCATCGGTTGGTGCCTTCGGAAGGTTGGCATCGTTCGTCTGGTCCACAAGAAGGGTGACCCGATGCAGCCGGGCAACAGGCGGCAGATATGCCTGCATCCTGCTATTTACAAACTCTATAGCGGGCTGTTGGCGCGTCGGTTATAGTGCTGGCTGGAGCTGAACAACCGGCTGCTAAAGGCGCAGAAGGGGTTCCGGGCTTTCAACGGTTGCCACGAGCACCATTTTGTGGCAGCCACGATGTAGGATCAGTCCCAGCGGTCGCACCGAAAGTTGTACTAAGTATGGTACGACTTACGGGACGCCTTCGGTTCCCTACCCTAGGCCCTCATGTGGCGTGTGCACCGCCGTATCGGAGTTGATCCCCGGTTTATTGACCGCTGCCAGGACATCTACCAGGAGTCAGCTTTCGTGGTAGTGAATGGGAAGACCGAAGCGACCGAACCAGTGCAACAAAAATTGGGTGTCTCCCAAGGTTGTTCTTTGAGCCCGCTCCTATTCATGGCTGCGCTGGTCCCGTTGGTGCGTAGCATCGAGCAGCTTGAGAATGTCGGTGTGCCGCTCGCGGATGGTGTGCGGCAGTGCGCCACCGCCTATGCGGACCATATAAAAAAGTTTAGCGACAGATCGGACGGTATTCACCGAGGCCATGGTGTGATGCAGCGTTTCCTTCAGTGGACGGGTATGTGGGCAAATCCTGCCAAGTGTGTCAGCCTTGATGTTACGACCAATGCCCGTGGCAACCCAGTTCGTGACGAGAGTGTCCGGTTGGAAATTCACGGTGATCCCATTGCTCGACTCACCCTCAATGAAAGCTATCGCTATCTCGGGGTGGGTGATGGGTTTGATTATGTCCAGCACCGCCTCCAGCTTGAACCCAAGTTGCAACAAATTAAAACTGAGGCGGTCGATTTGATGCAGTCTGGTTTGGCAGCTTGACAAGTGGTGAAGGCGCTCAAGCCTTTTGTACATCCCAAGGTAGAATACGCACTTCGCCACTTGCGACCACTCCAGTCTCAGCTTAAAAGATTTGACTGTGCCGTGAAGCGTGGACTACGCCACCTACTTCGCCTGCTGCAGTCTTCTACCAAAGAGTTCTTTTATGCGCCTACTTTTGATGGTGGACTGGGCCTGCAGTCGCTGGTAGAGATGCAACAAGCGCTGCAGGTGGCACACGCGTGGCAGATGTTACACTCCAAGAACCCAGCGATTGTGGCAGTGGCGAAGGCCCAGGTGTGTCAGATTGCTCGCAAACGCTACCGCCTGATTAAATACCACTGGACGGGTCGAGGCGACGAGCTCATACGTTATTTCTTGAATTCCGAGTTTGCGTCGCCTTCCCACGCCACTGCACATCGCAGATCGGGGAATGTCGCGTCACTTTGGGTGGACGTACAGCGGGTGCTTAAAGTTCACCATCTTACTTTTCATGATCGCGCGGATGAGTCTTGTCAGGATCCGTTTTCTCTTCGCGTGCCGCACCATACTCACTGGCTTTACCACAAGTCGGTGTTGCGGCACGTATAGTTGCACAAGAAGATTCGACACCAGACTCGGTGGAAGAGTCTGGTCGACCAAGGCAAGAAGACCCGGGTGTATGGTGGCCCTGGGTCCAAATTCGTGATGTCAGGTGTGGTCTGTCAGATGCTGAACACCGGTTTGGCATCCAGGCCCGGCTCAATCAAGTGGACTCGAACTCGGTGCTGAAGCGCCGACACCTGCGAGCGAATGCTCACTGCAGGCAGTCGAACTACTCGAGTGCTGAGATGCTGGCACACGTTCTAGATAATTGTGCCTCCAACATGAATTCCATCCACCAGCGTCACGATACTGCGCTCGGACAGATTGGTACTGCGATAAGACAAGCCCTGCTTCGGACCAAGTCGAGTGCAGAGTTACGACTGAACCAGACAGTACCTGAGTATACTGGTGCGGCTCTGCGCCCGGATATTGTGCTTCGGGACGTGGATGCCAAGACTATGGTGATAGCTGACTTAGCCGTCACGTATGAAACTCATTCTGCTGGGCTCGACACTCCTCGCTACAAGCCATCCAGGACTTCAAGGTGCTCAAGCATAAGCCCATTGCCGATGAGCTTAGGTTTAAGGGGTGGAAAGTGGAATCTTCAGCGATCGTATATGGCTCACTGGGCTTGGCGCGAACGAGTAAATTTAGGACCTACACGGATAAGATGCACCTGCTTAAGCGTGGTGCTGGTCGGCTGGATTTACAACTTTCAAGTCACTGTGTTTGTTCTAGCTGCAGGATCTGGAATTTACACTGCAAACAACACAGGAATCGACGACGTTGTGGGGCGGCCGCACGAGTGACTCGCGGGTCTGGGGGGACCCCGCGGGCTACTCAGCCGCCATGTGCATGTTGATAAGCTGGTCTGTACGACTGACAGGGCACTATCCAGGTAGGACACCGCCCTCAAAAACCAGTCCATTTCTATAGTCGTACAGAGGTCATTAGCTTGTAATACATACAAAACTTCTTTTCTACTTGACTTTCCTAGTAGACAACCTCCTTAGCTTTAGTGATCGTATTCGACGTCATGCATTGACTCGGGATGTCGGTGGTAGTGCTGTGCTCTCTTTGAGACTGGCCTCCTCCGTTGATGAACGTCCGCTGTCGTTATTCCAAGACAGCGTGAGTGTGTGAAGTGATATGGGAAGTTATGGAGCTCCTTATACTACGTTTGGTCTCTGCCTAATATTTCGTCCCACAATAATTGACCTCTGCTCGTAATTTAATCTTTAACGGGGTTACAAGTGATTATTAACTCGGTTTTGTTACGCGTTTTCACCAAGTAAATATCGGTTGGTCCGAGTGTTGCAGTCGTGGTACCACGTTCTTACGGTAATAGCGCACCACATCGAGTAAGAATAAGGGTGAAGACTTCTGTCATAGGATCGCAATGGAGAAGTCAGTCATACAAAATTTTAGGATTTAATTACCGTAGTTAAAGAGTAATAAAGTTCAGTTCCCCTTTCGAATCGTTGGACGCTAGTGCCTAGTCAAAGCATAATGTGTTGTGAGAGTGTTAGCCTTGTGAAGGTGTTTGCTCTTGTTTAACTAGTAGTGACTTGTAAGTGTGTGGTTCTGTGAATTGTAATCCCTTTGGAACCGGAATTGTTAAGCTCGTACGCTTGAACGACTGTACGCCGTCGTTGTTAGTTTGTTATAACTAAGAGACTCTTCGATTCGAAGACTTCCTCTGCTAAGAAGCGTTACGTAGCTTCGCTTTACCGAGTAGTTACTTAAGTCAATTTTAATTTAAGGCTTCACAGACCAAACCCTATGCGAGGACGGAAACGGCTATGAATTTCTCTGAGGCCCAAAAGATCACGCTTAAGAAGCTCAAGGTGTTGATTGGGCTAGAGCAAGTGGATCTTATAGTGTCGCATTGTTTAGACGCACTTTGTGCATGTCTCGAGGCCTTTTCGAACTTTATGTCCACGTTGATCGGACAGGTCCATGGCCATTTGGCATCTGCCATTGCCACACGGAATGTTCCAATTCTGGAAACTGAGTCAAGAACTAGTCCTCTAGTCTTAAATGTCAAGACTTTTATGGGAATCGATAGGAAAATTCCTTTTTGTAACTTCGAGAGATGGAGGTTGCCATCAGCTCGGCCTTGCTGAGGTCAGAGCAGCAGAAGCTGGGCCTGGTCCTATCATTGTATAGCGGGCGAGTCAGGGAGTGGACCTTCGCTTCTGGCACCTCGATAGACGAGGCTTGTTACACCTAAAATATGCTAATTAAACAGCTATCTCGGGTTTTACATCCGCCTAATCAGGCATATCGCGTGCGATTACGCTTCCTGTCAAGCCTCCTGGGTAAAAAGATTTAGTCGATTATGTCCAGGAGTTGCAAACTCTCATCGCTGCTATATAGCTTGACCCTTTACCTGGGATGGTTTTAGATATTATTTCCAATGAGTGTCGTCGCACTGGCGTTGCAAGAAACGAAGTGCTTCGTGCACAACACTTGACATTTGAGGGTGCAGTGGGCATAGCTTTGAACGCAGAAATCAACTTTATAGCTTCCTGCTACGGAGCTCTTGGGTTCCAATCGAACCTTTTAAGCAGTGCTCATCTTATGGATAGGGCAGAACCGATGGACCTTAGTCTCGCTGATAAAGACGAAGAAGAAGAGCTTTACGCTGTCGAACAAAGTTCAAACATCCGTAGATATTTAACGTGCGAAAGCATCATCACCTTCTCTTTAATTGCCCTTTAAGAAGGATCATACAAGCTCATTTAAGCCGAACTCCCGTCGCTAGCCAACGACGTGGAAAGGCGTGGAACCTCGTCAAGTCCTAGTAGGCGGGAGGCGCCCTGCTAGGGAGGATTAAGGCTCTGTTTGACCTCTAGAAGGTGATGTAGAGCAGGGTCTAGCCTTAAGTGGCTAACTGGGCAATGTCACGAAGCAGAATCCAGGCTTTTTAGTTGCGAAAGCAACGGTATAGGGCTTTGACAGCCACAGTGGTCAAGTTTAAACGCCTAGGCGATTCAGCTAAATACGAAATGGTATTAGCTAATTTTATTGTGGGATGATAGCCAGATATTTGGATGTTACCTTTGGAATGAGCCAGCAATCTCAACCCCATCCAGTCCGCACGGTCCCAGACTGTATAAATATCAATGAACCGCGTCAAGGAATCGTGATCAAGGGACCGCAATCAGGGGACCGCGATCAGAGGACCGCGATCAAGGAACCTCGATCAAGGGACCGCGATCAGAGGACCGCGATCAAGGGACCGCAATCAGGGGAACGCGATCAGAGGACCGCGATCTGGAGTGGAACACGATCAGGGGACCGCGATCAGAGGACCGCGATCTGGCGTGGAATACGTGATATAGGAGGAGAGCAAATTTTTTACGGCACGGAGAAGACACGTGGCGGTCATTCCTGACATATGGAGTAGGCGTACTTGTAGTTTTGAATTTGGGTTCGTTAACATTAAACAGAGTTACATTTGCTTCTAAACACATACGTGTCATTCTTCTTCCGGGTTGGATTTTATAGGTCTCCCAACGTCAGAGATCTTCGACACCAAGGGCAGAAAGATTACTCCTGGAGCTATTTGGCCAGGAGTGCAAGGACTTTTAACACACCTCAACTGCGATCGGACGCAGGCAACCTCACTGGTTGAAGTACAAGATCGAGAGACGGCTCAAGTGGTCAGAAGTCTCGTGACCCAAGTACTCCATTTTTGGCACAAGGCGATCAAGGCTCATCGCGGCGACTCTAGAAGAGCGCCAACCAAGAACAAGTGATCGGGTGTGTTATAACCGCCCGATCGACACAATCTCTAAAACTGTCAAGTTCAGCATCGAGTCAAGTCCAACTAGAAGAGTGCGACCCGCCCTACCGACGTGTACGCAAGACTAGAAGGAAACAAGTACAAGCGGAATGAAAGTTTTCCCTCCGTTAATCGGTTGTCTGGGATCAAGCGGAGAGTCGGGATTGCCTCATTAAATGATTAAACCCCACTCCACCACACCATAGTCGAAATTGATGGACTCCGGGACGTCGGGAAATTACGTTCGACGATGTTCTCTGCAAGGAAGTCAGCAACATGTTGAAGCGCTGAAAGCGCGAAAGAATGAGACTGTTACTGTTTGCTTGGCGAAAGGTGCATTAGTAACTGTGCTCAAAGTTTCTGTAACTTAGTCGTGAAGTTTTCGGACTTTGACAGTAATGAACGCTTTCTATTTCTTGAGTTAAGTGAGAGAGATGATCTCATCCTTGGTATGACTTGGCTAGAACGCCATGAGCCATGAATAGGTTGAATTTCAAAGACCTTAGGCGCAACGCGCACTGTTCCTAATAGAGCTTCGGAGAGTCATAAACTTACCTCTGCTAGGAGACAAAAACGCTATTGGCGCGAGCCACGGACTGAGACAGTCGGTGGTTGGACATTGTATGGCTGAATTGAAATATGCTAAAAGCATCAGGTACGAGTCAAGATCAATGACTGTTAGTGAGACGGCATGTACTCCGTCGAGTGATAATCGTTGTCATAACGAATCACTGCATGTTGTATGCATTGTTAGCCTAGAGCCAAGTCATCGTGGGTTGAAACCATCTGATGAGCGTGTAGTGGCACGTGAGTAACCACTGAGTGATATTGGCCGTATTTGCAACACAACGAATGTCAGTCAATACATTGTTGGTGAAACACCAAGTCCTTAAGTATGACGCTCATTTGATAAGCGTTGAGAAGCACGTAATCACCCACTCCGTGATGATCTCACTAGGATTGACTCATTTACAAATGTCGGTAATAACATCGGATCGGAAATAGATAAAATAAAGGTTGAAGCAGTTCGTTCCCTTGGGGACAGCCTAATTCCGGATGTCGAAAATGACATCGGTTCTGATATTGGCAACTTAAGGTTGACGCACTTCGTCACATTGGTGGCAGTATAGTTCCAGATGTCGGTAATGACATCGTCCCTCGTAATGAGCAACTTAAGATTGACAGTTGTGTCAATCTTGAGGACATTGATGTCCCGGGTGTTGGTAATGACACCGACCCTTGTGCAGAGCAATTTAAGGATGATGATGATGTTAATCTTGGGAACGAGAAAGTTCTAGTCTCTTTGAGACATTCAGTCTCTTCACAGTGACGACAGCGACGCCAGAGTGATGTTATGCAACGCAAGGCGTCTTAACATCAATGAGTGATACTAGCGAGCAGCTAAATACATTCGTTCACGGAGTGACTGGTGGATTAGCTGGTTCTATGAGTCTTGAGACGCTACCCACACTGATGCTGTTAGAGCTATACAAAATGTCTGTCGATGAGTTTGGCCTGACCTTAATTCAGGTGAATTATCTGAATTAGTGTTCATCAGATACGACAGTGAGTTGAACTCGTCGTCACTTGTTAATAAAGCCGCCTGGAAGACACAAAGGTGGCACTGAGTGCTCGAAGAGGGTAGCCGACCTTGAAAAATCCTGAGACCCGTTTAATCTTTTGGTTAAAGAGCTCAGAAATATGGTGTGTCACGATCCACATTCCACTATGCGTCCCGATCAAGGCGTATGTCAAGAAATTGACCTGGTTCCTGGAACCAAATGCTGTGAGACACGGTAATAATCCCTACCTAAGGAGCAGTGTGACGTCATTGACGAGTTCTTTTGTGCAAACCACGCGGCTGGCATGGTGCGAGAGGGCAATTCTCAGCACTCGACACCGACGTTTGTGTCAGAAAGCCAAATATCAATGGCGCATTTAAAAGGTAAGGCAGTCGAGCAATAGATAGTAAAATGCAAAGTGAATATATCTAGGTCCTTAGTTCACAAATTCTGTTGCTACTCTAAGCCTACAGGATTCTTCGACTACACGTTCCTGATCTCTATATCGCGCATTACTGATCGTCTAGTCGCGCATTGATAATCGTCTAGTCGTACGTTTCTAATTTTGGTCGTGCGTTTCTGAACACCCAAACGTACCAAAAATGGGGGACGTCACTGTCTGGCAGTACAGTGATGGTGAACCCCAAACACCAGATCCCGAAGGCTTAACTTGTTGTTTTTACGCCCCCACCGGTATCGAACCAGTGACCTTTGGGATGGTACTGCCATACCAAACCGGCTGAGCTACAGAACACATTTCTGCCACATCGTTCCGAGACGTCTCTTTTACAACACTTCCACTCGTCTCGGCAGATCGTGGCGCCTTGATGCCCAAAATTGTCCGAAGTTTCTGGAACTGTACGACGGTGATCGGCTTGTTCATTATATCGGTCTTCATGTACTTGGTTGGGCAGTATTCTAGCACCACTTGTCCTTCAGCAACCTTTTCACGAACAAAATGGTAGCAAATGTCGATGTGCTTGGTGCGTTTGTGAAATTCTGGGTTCTTGGCCAATGCAATCGATCCTTGGTGTCCTCGAAGATCTTGACAGCTGGGTTACTTGTCATCCCACCAAGCTCGCACAGTAACACCCTCAACCAAACTGCTTCTTGTGTAGCTGTCGTCTTCACTTGCTTGAAACTCAATTTCTTGTGTCTTAGTACCAAAAATTTTAATACATTTAGATTTTTCTTATTTTTATCAAAATAATGTTTCAAACTATTTTAAAACAAAAAATTTCTAAAATTAAAGGACGTTTACTAGGTGCAAATTGGAATAATAAAAAAAATTATCTCTGTTTTCTTTTTTATTTTTGCTTTGAAACCTGTGAATTTAAAAAATGCTTTAAATTATAAAAAAAAATTATTATAATAAATATATTGTGCTAAACACAGATCGGAGGCAAACTGGCTGAGCACTCCCACTAAATCCACGACGTAGGCTGTCTCAAAGTCGTCCTCGACTTGTGCCACCGCCGACATGTTTCTGAGCAAAATTCTTTAAAAGGATTTGCGTGTGGCGCTTACTGACGGGCTCCGTATGTTGGTCTTGCGCAGCGTCTTCTTCGTCAGGCTGAATTGGTACGGAAGAACATTAATGACCTGTACTCTCATCTTCTTGACTTTCAAAGACATTTTCTGCGTCTCTTTCGGTGCGTCTCCCATGTCGGAGACGTCTTCCATGAATTTTGCGTCGCGACTCACTAGAACACGACGACTCTTGATCTCTTCAAAGCGATACGCTTTCTCGTGTTCAGAGTATCCTATGAAGCGGAAATAGACTGACTGCGCATCAAACTTGGTGCGCTTTTGCTTCGGGACCGTCACGTGTGGGTGACAACCGAACACCTTCAGATTTGAAACCAGCGGTTTCTCGCCGGTCCAGATTTGATGTGGCGACTTGTCTTGACTTGTGGCACGTGTTGGACATCGATTTCGAAGGAATGTAGCGGTTACAACCGCTTCACCCAAATATTCTTGGACAGTCCGGCACGCTCCAACATGCAGAGAGCGCATTTCACCAATTACCTGTTAAACCGTTCTGCCACTCCGTTGAGTTGAGGTGTGTAGGAAGGCGTGAACTTTTGTACAATGCCACCACTACTGCACAGCTTGGTCATCTCATCCGACTTGTACTCTCCGCCGTTGTTACTGCGAAGTAGCTTGAAGCGGTTGCCTGTCTGAGTCTCTGCAAATGCGACAAATTCGGCAAACTCAGAAGCCACTTTAGACTTGTTCTTAAGCAAGAACACCACACTAAAATGTGAATACTCGTCAATGAACGTGACAAAGTATCTGCTTCCACCGAGCGAAGCTGTTTGCATAGGACCACAGACACCGCTGTGGATGACTTCTAGCATCTTCTTTGCACTCTCTGGGGACTTTGGCATAAAGCTCACTCGAGTTTGTTTGCCAAGAGCACACCCTTGACACATCTCCCACTGTTGCACAGACGTGCTGTTGATGCCGATGCCGTAGCCCTTCTTGACAATGGGGTCTAGACCGTTATGGCCAATATGGTCAAATCGAAGATGCCAGAGGTACGACCGGTTGGTCCCATTAAACCGGTTGAACTTGACACTTTTGCCTCATCTAGCATGAGCGGGGTCACGCATAACTTGAACAAGCCCTTTCCCTTGCACGTAGCCAGCTGCCACTTCACACTCTTCGACTGAGCAAAGCACCCGTCACTTTCAAATGTGACGGGGACAATGTCCTTCGTAAAACGCCCCACAGAGAACAGGTTGCGCGTCAACTTGGGTATGTGCCACACACCAGTAAGCACACCTTTCTTGACGCCGTGTTTTGTCCTCATTGACATGATGATGTCTCCCTTTCCCACTGCTTGTACCACGCCATCATCCGCCAAGTGCACATCCACTGGCGAGATCTTCTGGTATTTCTTCATGTACTCTTTTGAGTATGTCATGTGCTGAGTCACACCTGAGTCGACCATCCACTCTTCACTCAGCTTGATGTTATCTCCATTAACTGAAAACAGAAAGTCGCCAGAGTCTTCTGCAACCTGCGCAACACTTGCTCTTTGCGACCTCTGCCGTTATGCATTCTCGCGGATCCTCACTGGACACTTGTCAATCCAACATCCTTGCTCGCCACAGTAGTGACATGCACTGGCCTTCTGCACTGGCCGTCCTCCTTTTCGCTTGCTGTGATTACTTGTCACGAACGCTTGACCTTGACCGTGCGCGAATCCGTCGACGCCGCCATCTTGTTCCTTGCGCTTCATGTCTTCATGCATTAGCCGAGACGTCACGAGTTCCCACGACACAGATTCAGCACGAGACTCTAGCACCGTGGTTAGAAACTTTTATGACTCGCTTAAATTACCAAGAAGCGTGATCACTAAGTCATCCTCGCTGACCGGAGCGCCAACCGCATCGAGCTGCTCCGCCATAGTCTTGAGCTTGTTGATGTGCTCCAGAACATCATCTTCTTCATCCATCATCGTTGTGAAGTAGCGTCGACGAAGAAAGAGCTTCTTCGCCAAACCCTTCTTCTCGTAATGCCCTTCCAGTCTTGACCATGCATCGTACGCTCCATTCGCTGAACGAACCAGCGGCAGTTGCGAATCTTCCATCGCGAATCAGATAATCGCCAGCGCCTTGCGTGACTTTCTCTTGAACGTCGATTGATCCATCACGTTGGTGCAGTGCTCCAGCTTGACTTCTCCACATGTGATCTCCCACAGGTCGTGCTCTTCCAGGACCATCTGCATCTTGAACTTCCATGTGTGGAAGTTGGTCCCTTGGAACTTGTTGATGCGGGCGGTCGACGTTGCGGCAGCGTCTATGGCGAAGGCGTAGTCGGAGTCTTCGTTGGAGGAAACGGGGCTTGGGCTCATAACCTAAAGGCTAAGGCAGTCGAGCACTAGACGGCAAAATACAAAGTGAATATATTTAGGTCCTTAGTTCACAAATTCTGTTGCTACTCTAAGCCTACAGGATTCTTCTACTACACGTTCCTAATCGCTATATCGCGCATTACTAATCGTTCAGTCGCGCATTAGTAATCGCCACATCGCGCATTACTGATCGTCTAGTCGCGCATTGATAATCGTCTAGTCGTACGTTTCTAATTTTGGTCATGCGTTTCTGAACACCCAAACGTACCAAAAATGGGGGACGTCACTGTCTGGCAGTACAGTGCTGGTGAACCCCAAACACCAGACCCGAAGGATTAACTTGTTGTTTGTACGCCCCCACCGGTATCGAATCAGTGACCTTTGGGATGGTACTGCCATACCAAACCGGCTGAGCTACAGAACACATTTCTGTCGCATCATTCCGAGACGTCTCTATTACAGCAGCATTTTGTATACTTACAATAAGCTTAATGCATCCACTATACCGGCACAGACGTTTAATTCTAGACAGGAATTTCCAGAGAAAGCTATGGTGGGTCTTACCATGTTTAGTGCACTCGATTTTATCGATGGGTATTATCAATTAGTCTTGCAAGCGAGTTTTTATTATGCTCACAGCGTTTAGCACTCCAGGCGGTATGCTTTGGGAGTGGCTTGTTATGTCTATAGGGATGTCTAATGCACCGGATACATTAATTTACTATGAAGATTTGTCTGACCTCACTGATAATACACACACATCTGTTTCGATGACGCATTTGTCCATAGCCATGCAGACCATGGTAGGTCAGATGTAGACTATCACATTAACCATTTACAAGCAGTTTTCGATGCATGCGAACGAACAAAGTGGTATGCAAATGCATCGAAATGCATTTTTGGTGCTGAATAACCTTCCTTTCTCAGGTGCTTCATTGGTAACCGTGGCCTTCGAGCGGATGCCGCTAAATAAGGTCAATTGTTGACTGGTCGGATCCGTCGAATTAAAAGGACTAGCGTAAATGTTGTGGCCTTGCTAAATACTTGCACAAGTACAGTGCAAACTACACTGACATGACAATGCCATTAACCAACCTCCGCAATAAGGATGCAATTTGGTGTTGGGACGCAATCCATTCTCAAGCTTTTAAAGCTATAAAGGAAAGTCTCCTTCATGCTTCAATTGTGATTTTGCCTGACCCTGAGTGGCATTTCAGTGTCGTCTGTGACGCGGCTAATTTTGATATCGGTTGTGCAATTTTGCAGACAAATGTCGATACACATGAACGCGTCATTGCTTGTAAATATCGCTAGCTCAAGGCTGCAGAGAAGAACTATCCAATTTACGACAAATAGTTACTCGCAATGATTTATAATCTTGGTAAGTTCGGAGTCCATGTACTTAGCTTAAAGCTTTGTGTGATTTTCACCGATCGTGCGTCGTTGCGAGCTGCGACACAGTCTCCTCACCTCTCACAGCGTATGGCCTGTTGGATTTAATTCTTTGCTATAAACAACTTCGATGTGAAGTGTAAGCCGGGCAAGCAAAATGCTATGTCTGATATATTGTCACGCAGACCTAATTATAAGCTTGCTCAAGTTACGACTCTGTCGCTAATCCATTGTGGATTTAACTCTTGCGTCATATGCACGTGATGAGCAATATGTAGCATTGCTAAATTCTCTTAAAATTGAGGAGTTTAAGGACTCGAATATGTCGGCAAGTTTACGTACGAGCCCACATCAAAATGTCATCGATGGTGGGTTGTTGTGTTATTCCACGGGTGTTGAAAATGTGTCTCGCATGGTTGTTCCTCATAATGACGATTTGAAGTATCGTATCCTCTTGACGCACATGACACTGATTTTAGAGGTCTTCTCGGTCGTGATAATTCCTGTATCTCAGTTATCTAGACGTTTTGGTGTCTTAAGCTGCACAAATGGGTTAGCACACGTGTGCGTAAATGTGAAACGTACCAACGGGTTACACCCTCAGCGCATGCGGTTGCACCGCTTGCTAGTTTGCCCGTACCCACTTAGTGCTAGGAGTCCATCAGTATGGACTATGTGTTCGGCCTACCGAAGTATCCGGAAGGCAACACTGTTATTGTGGTCTTTTTTGATCGTAAGAAAAAGATGGTTTATTAAGCGGCTGTGCCTGATTCCATGAAGGTACAGCGAAGCTGTAAGTCGAGTGTGTAATTCGTCAACACGGTTTGTCGTGGCAATTAATTCGGATCGTGATTTACGTTTCACTGACAAGCTTTGGAAGTCTGTATTCAGGGTGCTGGGCACTAGGTTGTGCATGTCCACAGTGGATCATCCGCAGGCCAATGGTCAAATTGAGCGTGTCAACCGTGTCACTGGTAAAATTTTGCGCAGTGTTTGCGCAGATACGACTAATCATTGGATCTTATGATCCGTGTGGTGGAGTTTTCGTTAAACAGCGCTGTTTATGCCTCTATTGTCTTTACTCTATTCAACGTAAATAGTCTCACTCACCCACGCGTTCCATCAACGCTTCCACTACGTGGTTCTGGGCTTAATAGGAAGGGAATAGCCGATCAGCTTGATGATATCAGCCCAACTACTGTTCAGAAACAGGTGAGCGAGTTTCTCGCTACACGCTTTAATGTCTTTAGAAATGTGTGTGACGCAATGGATGACAGATAGGAAAAATGAAAGGAACAGGCTGATGGCAGAAAGTTCATTGGGAAAGATGTAGTTGAAGACCTAGTCTTACTGAACTCTAAGAATCTACTTACCAAAATGGTGTCCGGGTCTGCATTATAAAGTTGCGTCCTCGCTTCATTGGTCCGTTTACGGCTGTGGCCATGAAGGGACTAGCGAATACGCTCAACCTTCCGCGCAAGGTGCAAACGCACCCATAAGTTTACGGCGGCTTGCTTTAGCCTTATCGTTATCCGTCGCTTGTGGATCACGAGGCGCTTGTGCCGAAAGAGATGGCGATGCCACGAGTCGAGGAACCCTCAAGAGAAGATCTAGTTGACCTCCAGGAAGCGCCACTCGGTCATGCAGACCGGGCACATCGTGCAATAGCTCATCTAAAACGCGTCGAGATTCACCGACCACCATCTGCTCTCGTTGACGATCAAGGGACACAACATTAGATTTTGAACTAATACTGCAGCGACGTCGTCGCGACGATCAGTACCAGTACTTGGTATAGTGGCGGGAAAACCCGGAACCGGGCAACTCATGGGAGTACGATGTTTTACTGCGGCAGGATTGTCCGTACGCCGTTGACGTTTTTAAGCGTCGTATTTAGGGTCAGTCGACCCAAAACGCTTCCCACTAGTCGCTGTGATAGTGGAGGAGGTTGCAGCTGCACCTTCAGCATTTGCGCTGATGCGCGCGTTCGTATATGCCGCAGCATAGCGTTTACGATAGAACGATCGCAGTTAACCTTTGGCCTTTTGTTTGGCGAAATCGAAACGCGCCTTCCGTTCCAGCAGAACGTCGACAAATGAAGCGCTCATTGTAGATTCCCAGGATTGGCAGACAACGTGCTCTTTTCGCTCAACGCGTAAAGACGAAATTATTGTCCGCCTCTGTCTCACCAGGGAATAGAACGATGGGTATTGTCCGCATGGCGGACACTTACGAACCTTGTGGTTGCAGATTCGACCTGTCAACGATACTCTTGAGCGTTCATACGCTAAAACCCTCCGTATCTTGCTCTGAGAGCCTCCTCTCCGCAAGTGCGGTGGTTGTGACAGCCTTGGATCCTGTTATCCATGTTGCTAGTGACGGCCCAGCAATCTGACGAATAAGCTCATCCACAGTCGGTAGATTAAAGCGGTAGCCACTGTGGGCATTGGCTGTGGCTACAATTTGTGCTTGGCACCTGCGGTCATCGACCGACTGAAGATATGTAGCTTGATCTTCATCGAGAGTGTTGTGCAACGCACCCGACGCAGGGTTGATGACTGTACGCTGTGCAAGGGGTCAAGGTACTTAATCGAGTTTCACGAATGGAATTGGCGCGATGCGCGTGTTGTTACGCGCCGGTGGCGTGGCTGGAGGATGGTCGTAGATGCTCGAGGCAGCGGTGTCACTCTCGTATTCCATCGTACCCTCTTCGAGGAATTCTACCAGGGTGTTGGACGAAAACTTTGACTCAGTCCTTTTGAGATGTGTTGTAAACACCATGGTCAAAGACCAAAGCTTTAAGACCTCAAATTGCAGTAGAAGAATTGTCGACACATGTGTGGCCAAAGTTTGGTGAGGAAGGGTGTAACGGGGTTGCACGCGTTTATTAAACCGTTTATGTTGTGTGTCAACACCAAGAGAGATCGGTGGATCTGAGTGGTACTGTATCGAGTAAGCCCGTTACATGATGTTGATACCAAACGGTGTCAATAGAATTTTGTCTAGCATGACAAAATCCAACGTATTTATCCAAGATGACTAACATTGAAGGAATGTTATCCCCTTCTAGGATAGTTATCATGCGCTGCTCAAAGATTGGTTCATAAAAGACATACCATCCATAGATTACCACCAATCACTGCTAGACGCGCGCAATAAGTGGTGAGCAGGTTGTCGTCATACGACGACGTAGTTTAATGTAGTTAGATAAAGATTAAAGTTATATTGATAGCTTAACCATATAAAATACAGTTATCTTTTTACTCTTTACTCAGCTTAGTCGTTAAGTAGATTAGCTTCCTCTGCGAGTACTAGTGTACGTGAAGTTTCTTGGCACCCGAACAAAGGGTGCCTCGTTACAGGCCAAGTCTTGGTACCACGTTCTTACGGTAATAGCGCACCACATCGAGTAAGAATAAGGGAGAAGACTTCTGTCATAGGATCGCAATGTAGAAGTCAGTCAGACAAAATTTTAGGATTTTATTACCGTAGTTAAAGAATAATAAAGTTCAGTTCCCCTTTCGAATCGTTGGACGCTAGTGCCTAGTCAAAGCATAGTGTGTTGTGAGAGTGTTAGCCTTGTGAAGGTGTTTGCTCTTGTTTAACTAGTAGTGACTTGTAAGTGTGTGGTTCTGTGAATTGTAATCCCTTTGGAACCGGAATTGTTAAGCTCGTAAGCTTGAACGACTGTACGTCGTTGTTAGTTTGTTATTACTGAAAGACTTTTTGAATAAAAGACTTCCTCTGCTAAGGAGCGCTAAGTAGCTCCGCCACATGTGTGCAAAAAGAAAAAATGTGGATGTGTGGATAACAATTCCTTTAATTTTTAGCGCCCGCGCAAAAAAAACTCGCACCTGATGCGAACACAAAATGCTTCCCTTGAATATGATCATTGCAGGAAGCATGACCATTTCCTTCCCTTGCGTGATGCCTGAAGATGCAGAAGCTTTACTATTTTGTATGCATTGCGTCTCAAGTAAATAAATCGTGTGGGGGTATTTCGACAAATACATTCCTGAATTATGAGATGTGGAGATGATGATGGTGTCTATTATAGCCTTGAACAATTATACTGTACACTCCGCGCCAGATAATATCGTACACCTATACTTTTATCCACTGCTCAGTCAGTTTTACGAATTAGCGGGTGCTTTTTAGACACGTGGTGTATTTTATTAATAGAAACACCCTATGTGTGTTAACGATTGCGATTTCGCAAAGCGTAAGGGGCCTCACATACAAATAACTGGTTTTGCCACTGCGACATTTAAAATCGTACAAAATGGCATACAAATTTTAAGTATAAAATGAACAATTAAAGAATCATTGTATTTAATAGGGGGTTTTATTGCCTTCTACTCGATAACCTCAATGCATCGTCGCGGCATTGAGCGAACAAGCGACACGAGTGTGGCATCCGGGATTGCATTCCAAGCTATAATTAGCGCAGCCTTTAGCTCAGACACGCGCTCAAACTGTGTTCCATTGGCGTACACTTGCCTGCTAACGATAGACCACAAATTATCGATGGGGTTGAGATCAGGTGACTTGCTGCGTATTGATGCAGGTGTTTGATGGCCAGTCAAGTGCCTAAATACCCTCCTCACTGAAGAATTCGCGGCTACGGTGTGAAGCATGTATGCTAGCGTTGTCCTGTTGGAAAATAAAACAGTACCATAGTTTAGATGCGCAAATGGTAGAAGATATTCAGACACTGTATAAACATAGTCATTCGAATTCTGCCTCCCCGTCAGCACAACAAGTGGAGACTTGCCACGGGCGCTAAAAGCGGCCCAAACCATGATGGACCCACCTCCAGCTTGACGTCGATTCGTCTGGCGGACGGACTGGCACACATCTCTCCAGTAGTGCTGAAAGACGTCGAACCCGTCAAGATTCCATTTTTTCTCGTCCAAGAAAAATAATGGAGTCCCAGACGGACCCGGCATCCTCATGCAACAGCATGTCCTTTGCCCAGGATTTGCGCGCACCCATGTCCGCGACCGTGAGCACCAACGTGTTTTCTGTCTTGGCGTACACAAGCCAATCGACATCGGCCAAAATGCGCTGCACGGTGCGGACGGACACCGGCAGGCTTAGCTCGACCTGAAGCTGGGCGGCGGACAGGTTTCCCTGAGCAGAGGTGCGCAAGGAAAGTCGCAAGTGGCGCTTCAGAGAAGTGGAGCGGGTCCTCGGAATTTCATCTGTAGGGGAGAGGCAGGGGATACTACTCGACGTCTAGTGTCAAGGCTCCTTGAGGTGACAGTCTTGATGGCACGCAAACTCAGTCCAGCCTCTCGAAGCCCCACTATCCTTCCCCGCTCGTGGTCGGTAAGTCTTGGCTTCTTGTTGCCATTCCCGTCGATATGAGCCGCTAACATCGTGTCGCCAAATGCTTGTGCCGCTAATATCAACCTAGTAATACAATCATACTGATACATTACGTAAAAAATTTGTGTGCCATTTTGTATGATTTTATATGTCGCATTGACAAAACCAGTTATTTGTATGTGAGACCCCTTACGCTTTGCGAAATCGCAATCGTTAACACACATAGGGTGTTTCTATTAATAAAATACACCACCTACCTAAATAGCACCCGCTAATTTGTAAAACTGACTGAGCAGTGGATAAAAGTACAGGTGTACGATATTGCCTGGCGCGGAGTATACACGTGCCTGTCGTGACAACACAGGATGGAATGTTCGGTACTCAGATGCATTTTTATTTTTAAACAGCCATTGACGTCCACATTCGTTTTCACCTCCTCCTACTACTTCTTCCTCTACGGCAAGTAGGAGGGGGACTTTGCTTTAGAGGCATTATCGACCGGGTCAAAAGGATTAGCGTGCCAAATCTGGTACTATAAGCCCTAGCGCTCAGCGAATACCACCTGCGTTGACACTGCTTCATTCACCAGCTCCTTGTGCGGAATAGACCAGCAATACGATACTCCTGGCTCTTTTGCTCGGCGCCTTGCTACATAGGCTGAAGATTTAGTCGTCATAAGCTGCACGTACCATCATTTCATCAATAGCTAAAGGTCAAGCATTGCTTTGCTATGAGTTCACGAGCTACCCTTCGACAGTTATGGTTAATTGACTCTCTTTATAGCGACTAGCTACATCTATACCTAATGCAGCCTCGAGCACTGATTCCAGTGTGACTCCTGCGAGCCGTTAAACCAACTAGTCACAGTGATCGTAGGGATCAATTCCTTGGTGCAGGCCCTTCCCAATGACATTGTAGTACACTTTCTTGCCAATGTCGAACTTCTGGATCAGAGACTCCTTCTCTGCGGCTGCCGCGTCGAACAGGTCAGCGCTGTCAAGAAATGTCATCTTGTTGATCTCTTTGTAGCTCCGTCCCGTCATCTCGTGAAATTTGCGCACACGGAAGTCCCGAACCAGTTTACCCACTCTAACGCCGTCAGGTGAATCGACCGTCTTCAAGTCAACGATATTCGCGTTCAGCTCGACGTCGGAAGTCATGCTGCGGCGATTCCAGTTGGCTGAGCCGTCCGACAAGTACACATCGTCGATGATCACAATCTTGCTGTGCACGTACACATTCAGCTCTGGCTTCATTGCGTACATGCGAATCTTGTCTGGAAATCTGTCTTTGATCGGCTGAACGAGCTTGTACATGTACTTCTCATATCCGCCGCTCTTGGTCATTAGCTCTGGTGGCTGAATGACGACAACTAAACGCTGTATGATTGGCATGACTACCATTAGGGCATCCAGCAACTCGGGCACGTGGATGAAGTACTGGTCCTCGACATAGATGAAGTTCTTGGCGTTCTTGATGGCCTTGATGCGCGCGTACAGCAGCGACTTCTCACCAAATGGTGCAAACTCGTAGTGCTTGTACTTGCAGCTGAAGGTGCGCACAATCTGCACACTCTGGTGCCCGAACGTCGAGGTGGTGTTACTACTGCTGTAGTTCAGCGCGGGTTGGAACGAGTACGCTGGGTTCTGGAATGATTCGAGGTTGTCGACAAGGTCTTGTGTCGGGAGATAAGGAGAGTTCCAGCGGTCCAGAAAATTTGCTGCAACATCTTTCGCAGCTGGTCCATGAATGCGGAAGCTACTGTCGACCCATCCCTTGTAGTCCAGGTTAATACCGGCTTTTTCGCGAAGTGCTGACTCGTTGTGATAGATGGTGTCCCACCGGTCATTAGTGATATCGATCCCGCCGACGTACGCAACGGGGTACTTGTCAGATCCAGAAGGGGCACTTGCAGCAATGATGACCGTCTTTTGGTGATGCGACGATAGACTATAGGGCAGCCGATCATCGAAAATGAACTGGGCACTACCGTTGTTGATGCTGGAAGTCGGGAGTTCGTTGATCTTGTCACGTACGTTGATGTCTTGTTTCGACGGGAACTTGGTCGCCCAGCAAATGATCTTGACATCCCCTCCTCGCTTCACGACGCCGCCAAAGACAGCATCGAAGCGACTGGTGAGACCTTCCGGGTCCGTTTCAGGCTTGAATGGAATGAGCGCCGTGTTGTACGCGGTCACCATGACGCGATCATTGGCCTTGGTCGATGAGAGATCGTCGTAGAGCGAGTCGAAAAACTCCTTCGTCACTGTGAACGTCTTCACATTGTTGCCAGTGCTGTAGGTGACCATGTTCAAGCGAGGTACCCCGCCTCGAGATGCCGTGATCTCCTCTTCGGTAAGGAACCAGTCAGCTGCGACGAGAAGAGGTTGCTCGAATTCCACGTCATCTTGAAGCACGTTTTCCAGGGGGTCCATTAGTAGAGCGCTAGAATTGCCATCACTACTCGTGTTGTCATTCTTTTTGTCCCCGAAAAAGTTAAGGAAGGACCAGGAAGCTGAAGCAGATGAAGCCAGTAGTACCAGCTGTACACATCCTATTACGAGGACGGAAGCGGCTCGTGGTCTCATTTGCGCGTTACGTGAGACTTGTGAAAAGGAACGGACTTGTCCCCAGTCACGCGTCGTTCGACACGAACGGAGGAAATTTGACACTGACGCTCAAGTTGCAGGAGGGTATTTGTACGTGAAATGGGGGGCTGGGCGAGCAAAGCCCCTGCGCGGTTCATCAATGAACAGGGACCGACCAGATCGATTGTTATTCACGCGAGTAGAAACAAAGACACAGACCATCGGGGAATCTGCTTTTGTCGTGACTGAGCCTGTGCTTGTGTCCACACGGTTAGACCGTATGCACGATCGACGTCGCGGTCTGTCGTCAAATGAGTGCACAACAAATCAGATAGATAAATAGATACCCTTCTGTACAGTGTCGAGATTGCCAGGTCGTACTTGATGACCATGGCATATTGGACACTATGACTCAAAATGTACATCGGAATCTCGACCAGGGAGGCACGGTTTGCACGGTAGAGAAGGTCTGGACTCTGTGCTACATGGCTCATTCTATTTACATTCGGTTTGACTGTTGGCTTGCCAGTCACTAAAGGTTGCTGACAATTTATGATCCGAGGGCATCTGTCGAGGTGCGTGGAGATGGTGACCATACGGTGCGAATCACGATAATGACACTGCGAGTGTTATATTGGGTACGCAAAAGCAGACACCACTGATCCGGACAGACGGAAAAGCAGCAGAAACCACGAGTGCGGAGCGTGTTTGCGAATGTTGACAACACAAAAGGCGATATTGCAGCTCACTGTTTAACAAGTATCGGACATTACAGCTATTCTGGGACAGCAGCACAGCGCGCGGCCACGAGCTAAGATGTCATTTGGGTCCAAAGTCTCTCCTTTGTGCAATGGGCCGGTCATTAGTGTTCGTATAAAAAAAGCAAACGTTGTGCTGTGATTCATACTTCTATATGCAATGTGTTGGTCGGCGTACCCGTTTTCACGGCGCCTCCCGTACTTCGTTTTTGATGGCCAATTAAACTAACTTTCTATTCACAAGTGCATCGGCAAACAGTTTAATTTACAGTCTGCTAATGGCAAATGTGTGCAGTGCCCTCGAGTCTTGTATCTAACACGTATAGTTTTGTTCCGAGATCGTGTGGTCAAGAGACAATTAGCGACTGACATGACTGTATTTCAATAAAAGGGATCTCTTTTTGATCGACGGTCGTAATCTCGTCTCGTACTACGTTGTCCGTGGCTTTCTTGTTGCCGCCAAATGGCATGAATGTAGCATGAAACGAAGTAACGACCGTCAACATTGTTCCGAGAAGAGAGCCCATCACTAATTATGGCCCAACTTTCGGATGGGATACAAATATGTCGTTGGCCTCCGAATGATGAATTAAAGGCTCAGTTGTCCATCAGTAGATTATCGCCATAATATCTAGTTTTGTTTCTACATGAATACAGTAGTTACTATTAATATATCGAGGCTTCTCATACTGTCCTCTCCACCCAACTGTTATGTTTGTCGCACGCTTCCAGCAAATGAGCTTGACACTGTCAGCAGAGTGGGTACTTGCGCAGCCTCGTCCACGACGACTTCATCTTGATCTTTGCGTAGCTCTGTAGATCTTCAGCTTCAGATATTCCATCCTTTGCATAACATTCTCGCGTCGATGTCGCAGTCATGTCCTCGAGATGGATGATGGACGCATACTTTCTGTGTGCGTGCACGAACAACATGCACGAACTACAAAGTGAAGGAGCATCTGCTTGGTCCTCCCGATTTAAAACTAACGTGTACTCATACGTCCTGCGTTTGTTTCTCCTTGTCTCACCTCACCTCACTTGCCATACTAAGTGCTTAAACAATTACGTAATATTAGATCCACTCGATGGAATGCGCTCGGCCGACCTCAACGATAGAAGCGACCACAAAAATGTGCCGACGCCTGTAATAGACAAACGTACGTTTAACTAGTCGAGTTAAAGCTAGATGGTCACGAAACAAAGAAGTGCTTTCGGAACATCGTATCGCTTGTAGAACCATCAAGAACATGTGCGAAGAGCTTCGGAAGCTAAGTAAAACAACAAAGCTAAATGTATAAAGCGCTTTGGCGCCGAGCCAATTCGGAATACCTGTCCACAAGCTACGTGCTGCTAAACTTGTCAAGATACGTGATGGCTGTCTTGGATTTCGCTAGTCTATACGTGGCATACATGCGAACGCCGAGAATGATTAAAACGCTAAACGCCATCAAGCTAATATGATCGCGGGTACGAAACTTGGCATGTTTATCAAGTAGCGCTTTGACTTTTCATTGGGACCTGCAGAGAAACTGCTGAGTAAGCAACATGCTCCAACAAAATTCTTCAGTATGCATAAGAGCGTATGACCTGGGCACGATTTTCCACTTCGTAACTTTTTGATGGCAAGTATGGCCGTGCATCATTGCTCACCACCTCACAAATCATCTCAGGAATACTTGAGCATAGGTGATCGATAATTACCTCTTGACACTTGGCGCTAAGCCAACGAAGTCGATGAGCTCCCTCAGAACAATTGATTCAATTTGTCAAACGATCACCATGAAATAGCTACTATAAACGTTTGTGGTTTCCTTGTTCAACGAAGCCAGTGGCTTTGATCTGCTGTGCTGATTCGGTGGGTTCGAAACGTTGTGGCGCTTGTATTCAGACCAAGCAAGCGCTTCGATTGGATTCGCAGGGAATGCATCGACATATATTGGCTACGCATAATTGATGTCCGGAGTCATGTTTGGTTTTGCAATGATGAAGTGTCCGTTGATTGAATTCGCAGAGATGGAGATGCGACAGCACATATGCAGGGGTATCGCTGTAGTGAAGCGCATGGACTGACTCCGACTCCGCTATGTAGCCGAATCAAGTCGACATTCGACATCCTGATTTGACCTAGCGCTGTACGACCGGCTGGTGAATCTGGTGGGATCATGATCAGACGGAAAGCGTTCGGTACCTCAGTGCGAGGCAGGCACTTCAAAGCCGGAGTCTTGTCGATGACAGATGTTATGGAGGTTTCACGGGGTGTGAGGTGCGCTTACCCACTCGAGAATGTCTGATGCAATGGCGCTCGTTTGCTGAGCAAAAAAACAGCACCATCTTTGTCGGAGCGTCACCGCTCAGGAGACTGTCGCTTTCGTATGCATACGGTTTCTTACCTTCCAACATTTGCAGAGAAGTTGGTGGTGTCAGCTACTCTACCCAACTCGAATTTCCAAACGAGGAATGCAAGTGTTTTCTAAAACACATCAAACTACTGCAAACGGCTCACTTGCAGTACGAGTCTAGTCAAGAACGATATAAATGCATACAGAATGGGTAGACAAGGCTCCGATTGAAGGATGGACAGGTTCCTGCATGAACTGCGACTCCGCAAGAACGTCCGAATGATGTTGCTGATGGATAAATCGACTCATTGTCAGTCTTGTGCATCGACGCGTTTGAATGCAGGGTTTACTTCATGGAGAAACACCTATAAATGAAGCCGGATCGCGGCCCGACCAGGGCGAGCGGTCTGACTGTTCTTGCTTTGTGGTATTTCGTACACAAGGCGAAACACTCCACAAGCTTACTCGCTTCTCAAACTCATGTAGTGCCTCACATATCTAGAGGAATGTTGATGTCAAATTCGAGAGAAGCAGCTCGTACGCTCACTAAATCCTGCGTATCTTTGTAACGTAGAGCCCCAGTAGCCATTAAAGCCACACAGCTGCGTCGAGCATTCTTAATGTGCGAGCATGTAGTGTGCTCATAGCTGGCATGTATGATTCATGTAGAGCTCTTATCGTACCGTTTTCGTCCTGCGCTGATGATTCTACCTTCTAGCTGCACCAAGTTTCACCCGAAAGAGTATAATGGTTCGTATTCTACCAAGTTTAGATCGAAGGCGATAAGGGGGTACTGTTCACGCAACCGATGTAACCAATGAGAGCAAAATAAAACGGAGGTATGGTACGTTCACAAGAGTTTTCCTCCGTCGCTTGCAAACACGAGAATCGGTTATCTACCCAAGACGAAGGCGATGTTGCTGGAAGGTGATGTTAACTATCGCTGTGTCCATAACGTAATGCTCTAGCTACCGCGGTGTTCATCTCGCTCACCTCTTGAAATAGACATCCGTTTTCAAAAACCCTCATGTGGCAAGTCAAACACGACCTCCAACATTTGATACAAACAATGGTTTGTGTGACCAAAAAAGGTACTCGGTTCGTCATCTACCCCGACAGTGTAACTCCGACGTACCCTCACGTGGGGTACGCGCGCGCTACGTCCCTTCGCGTTCCCATCTCTCATGGCATCACAAGAAGAAGATGGAGACGAAGAGTACGTGTACTCTGCAGGAGAGCTGGACGACGAAGACGAAGAGCAAGAAGACGTGGACTGGGAGAACGTCGCTGACGCGTCACCGCTGGCAGCAGACGCCGCTGTAACCACTGTACCAAGTGCTGCAGCATCCACTCCGGACCGTGTTCCGGTACCTTCGGACGACATTCATCATAGTGTACCCAGCATCACGAAAACTGGACACAACTTGGATCAGATTGACTGGGACCAGGTGAATCGCTCCCTAGCGAACGAACACGCAGCTTCTGTCACGGGCAAGAGACGCCGGCCGTCTATTCGTCTGACAAAAGATGAAAAGCAGCGGGAAACGGCGCTGCACCAGACGCATCTGCTGCTATTACTGGCTTCGCGTCTTCAATGGACCCGCTTGAGTTGCTGGAAGTTGCTCCAAGGACTACTTCTGTCGCTGACGACCTCAAGTGATGTGGATTTTTTTGCTGAAGTGAAGCAGCGACCGCTCGCGTATGCGCTGGCGTTGCTGGTTCGCTGGTTTAATCGAGAGTTTCAATTGACAAGTGAGACGAGCGAAGCAGTGGAGACGACGACGGAGCTCGTGACGGACGCGACGCTTTTGAACGTGTTTTTTGCCCGTAGAGGACGAGACGTGGAGCTGGCGCTGCTGTTTGCAGCGCTGTGTGGAGCCCTGCAGCTTCGGTATCGTCTGACAAGTGCATTGGATCCGCTGCTTGTGCAGAGAGGAAAAGTATTCGAGTCGTCGTTTCGACGCAGGGTGGGCAAACGACCTCGCCGTTCACGGAAGGTAGTGGATACGCTGCTGAAAAGGAGGAGACGGCGGTCCGATGACATCGACGAGGAGAGTGGTGATGAAGAAATGGAAGCGACGAGTGTCGAGACTGTTGATCAAGTGTTTTGGTTGTGGGTAGAGGTACTGGATGAGAAAAGCAAAAGGTGGATCCATGTTGATGCGGTGCGTCGACTTGTTGACCAGCCGCGGGACGTTGAGCCGCTGCGCGGCAAAGTGTTTCGTTTCTCGTATGTGATCAGTATCCAGGATGACGGTCTACTTGTGGATGTGACAGCACGGTACGCTGTGCAGTGGAGCAAGAGCTTGGAACTACGTCTTGCAGATTCATGGTGGCAACGTGTGCTAGAACAGATCAACGACGAAATGGATTACCAGCACGGCAGGACGGGAGCGACACGGTCACGAGCTCATGTCGTGGTCGATGCTCTTGTTGAAGAAAAGAAGGAGCTCGAGACACTAAAGCTGGCCGAAGGCATGCCCACCAGTATCGAAGGATTCCGGAAGCACCATTTGTACTGCCTCGAGCGTCATCTGGGTCGCTTAGAGTGTCTCCACCCACGCAAAGTGGTTGGATTATTTAACGGCGAATCCGTGTTTTTGCGAAAACACGTGCAGCCTGTCCAATCTGCTTTCAAGTGGCGACGTTTTGGCCGCGTTGTAAAAGACGAGGAGCGTCAGAAACCTGCACGATGGCAATCTCGGGACGGTTCTCTTGCTGGTACTAACGGCAGCAGCGATGATACGAGCAGCAGTGTTGGAGAAGGCGGAAGTGGCAATGCTTCGCTCGCTCTCTACGGTCTGTGGCAAACAACCGAGTTCGAGCCTCCGCCGTTGGTAAATGGCCGCGTTCCGAAGACCAAGTACGGCAACATTGAGATCTGGAGTCCAGCCCATGTTCCTCGTGGTGCTGTGCACCTCGAATTGCCACGAATCGACGCAATCGCCGAGTCATTAGGCGTCGATTTTGCTCCTGCTGTTGTGGGCTTTGAGGTGCGCAATGGCTGGACCGTGCCAAAATTGGCCGGTATCGTAGTCGCACGAAGTCATGAAGCGATGCTATTGGATGCTCACGCTGAGAAACAGCAGCAGACGATCGAGAAAGCGATCGCTTATAACCGGACACTCGTGCTTCGACGCTGGGCGAAACTCACAAAGCGGCTGCTGTTACGACAGCGACTTGAAGACGATTATGGTGTGGTCGAGCATTGATTAATAATGAGCTTGTACGATGTGTTGACGATTTTTGTAATATTCTGAAAGTAAACAGCTGGCTACAGGATAACGACGATATGTCCGACTGAATGTTATGGTGGTTGTTGCTATTGTCTTTTTTCGTCGTACAAATTGATATTTGCCAGCTTGTCAAAAGTTGGCGAGATGCAGCGACTAATTGCTCCATTGCGAGCAACATACGCGCGTCGCAGTGCCGCGTTCAGCACGCATACTGACTGGAAACGCTTGGTAAAGGAAGGCCCGACGTTTCAGGACTTTGTCACGCGCAGCCATCGACACCCGTCGCCACCTAGTAACAGCAAACTTGTTCCAGAGCCAGCGTCAAGTCCCAATGATTCGCTGCACCAGATTCGTCAGATTTTAGCCGCAACTCGACAATCGGTACGACAAAATGTTGTGTACTAAAATGGGTGTCCGCACGGTCGTACAGAAAAAATAATGGTGGGGGTAGAACCGTAACAACGTGTGGAATGTTTTTATTTTGTAGCCACGGGAGGCGACTGCACGACGGCAGTTGGTCGACCAATTTGGACGCACGCACACTTATTTACGGATATCGCTGACCGAGCGCTGTAATTTGCGGTGTCGGTATTGTATGCCAGAAGACGGCGTCCCATTGCAGCCGAATGAAGACCTTTTGACATCGTCAGAAATTATTCAATTGGCCAAGCTGTTTGCGTCCTCAGGAGTCACGAAAATTCGGCTTACAGGGGGCGAGCCGCTGCTTCGGCAGGACTTGATTGAGTTAGTGACTCAATTGAAAGCTATTCCAGGCATCGAGTCCGTGGGAATCACGACGAACGGTATCGTGCTACGGAAGAAGCTGCTGGCTCTGCAACAAGCAGGAGTCGATGGACTTAACATCAGCTTGGATACCTTAAAGCCGGTCAAGTTTGCTCATATTACGAGACGGCAGGGGTTTACACGGGTGATGAATTCGATCGTTGAGGCTCAAGAGCTGGGGTTCCGTCCGCTCAAGATTAATTGCGTCGTCCAGCGGCATTTCAATTTGGACGAGCTCGTGGACTTTGTGGCTTTTACGGAGAAGCACGCCGTGGATATTCGTTTTATCGAGTGGATGCCATTTGACAGCAACCGATGGAATGACGAGACTTTTGTGGCCTATAACGAGATGATGGAGATGATCAAGACTGCGTTTCCTACTGTAGAAAAGCTGCAGGACAGAGCGAACGATACGTCAAAAGCGTATCATGTGCCAGGTTTTAGAGGACAGTTTGGCTTCATTACATCCATGAGCGAGCACTTTTGTGGCTCGTGCAATCGTCTGCGTTTGACTGCTGATGGAAACCTGAAGGTCTGCTTATTCGGGAGCGCTGAGATCGGCCTGCGAGATGCTTTACGCACCAATATTGCCGACAAGGACATTGCAGACATAATCGACGTCGCAGTAAAACGAAAAAAGTTTGCGCTGGGTGGTCATGGGGATATGTATGGTCTGTCAAAAGCAAAGAACCGTCCGATGATTCTCATCGGAGGGTAGCAATATCGAGCATGAACAGCTTCGAAGTACACGGAAGTGCGACATGGAAAGGATGTATGGTGGAACGTCGAAAGAGCTGTACATTGTGCGCTTACAGAAGTCGGTTACGGGGTAACGAAAGTCGACATCGCAGCTCAAAATTGACACATTCTATCGATGAATTTGATGGAGGTGTGAAAACTACCGTGTCCCCGCAGTACAATCCTTGCGTTGTTCTGACTTGGTGAGCCGTTGAATTGCTGCAATAACAGCCGTGACGTCTTTTCGAGTTGGTCAACACTGTTTCGAGTATTTTGTCGACTCTTGCTTCATCGCTGTCTACATCATTGCTCTGACGTTAAGCATTACATTGGCATGTCAGTACACCGTTGTTGCTTCAATGATTAGGAATGTACGTGGTTCAAATATGCAAGCAACGAGCTTGTACGCGACTGATTCCTTTGCAAAGGGCAGCATCGCCATCACTTTGGCTCTGAAGCAAACTGTCGGAGTGAGGAAGTCGATCGTGCTAACTATGGTTTAGGCGTGGTATTACGTTCCAGAGCACACCATACATCCTGACGAGTGACGTTCTTGCAAAGTTTGGTATGTGCAAGCTTGGACTTCGTACAGTCATACTTGCTTCTCATCGTTCATGCTAAGAGCAAGCGTCAGCCCGTAAAACTCGCTGTCCTCACCAATGTATATATTGACACGAGTGGGTAGCTGGTCAGAATCCCTGTCTCCGGGGGCTCATATATTGCCGTCCGTAACTCGTAGTGTCAAGTTGGCTGTAGTATGTCAACTATACTAGTGCAGGGCTGGTCTACCTGTTGATGACGTCCTTTCCTGCTGCACCCATGACCTTCTCTGTTCATGATGCTCACTAAAGCTGGACGAGCTGTACGTGTGCGGTCATGCCATTTAGCAGCGGCGTGCTCTTGCCACGAAAATAGTGAGCTGACTACTTCGACAACTTGACAGCATCCCGTCGACTTGATAGCACATATGCAACCTCTCATCAGAGAGACCCTGTTTGCTCGCATCCATCACTGCAGGCCATGACGACCTGGCGTATCGATGCTTACTCCTTCGTGGTACGATACGCTTGGCAGTACACCAAATGACAACCGAACGTTAGCGCAAATTCCCTGAACACCCTGCTGTTACCCTGCTCATGGATATCTTGATCAAAACAAAAACCATCATCTTGAGCCTTGGTGGCGCCATCTTCAAATGCAAGCATCGTCATGAAACATTCTTGATCGAGTTAAAATGCAAGGCTTCTTTTCCCGTTCCTGTTTCTGCACAGAGTCCCCTCTCCAATCCCCTTCCGTATGGGCTCACACTTCAGCTCGGTTGATACCGAGCGAGTGTCGATCGAATGCTGCTGGAATAGCTCACTACAACATAAAAACATATCCTCAGTGAGTACACGAACGACAGATGCAGCTTTCGCAGTTCTTTCGACATGTACCTCGGACATGGTCTCGTCGGCTCTGTCACTGAAATCACAACAATAGTCAGAACCCCTCCACAGCATTCACACACTACAGCAAGCATACTATAGAACATGAACGTACTTGGGCGACATACTGCGGTCTGCGCTTCTTTTCTCCCTTTTCAGAACACAACAATGACAACAATGTAAGTATTTCGTCCACCCGTCCATCCATCTATCTATTCGTTCATCTGCAAACCGGCTAGTAAGCTCGATCGTCCTTACCGATTCGGCGAAGGAGAAGCACGACGCGGAGACGGCGATCCACGTGGAGAGCGGCGTGGGGATAACGACGCCCGCGGAGAGCGACGTGGGGATAACGACGCCCGTGGAGAGCGACGTGGAGATAACGACGCCCGCGGAGAGCGACGTGGAGATGGCGAAGCACGTGGAGAGCGGCGCGGAGAAACGGAATCTCGCTTGCGGCCGGCACTGTTACTGCGTCTACAGATCAGGTCCACAACGAAACCGTCAGCACGCTCCTCCTTTCAGCTCATCCAGTACAGTCACCGTCACCAGCGACAGCAACAGTCACCATCCTACCTCAATCGTTTCTGAGATCCAGAGCGCGAGCGCGACTTGGAGCGTCGTCGTGACGAGCGTCTCGGTCTAGAACACATCCACCCACCCCACAAATCACCCACACGAACGAAAACGAGCCACCACAATCCACACAGAAACACACTTAATCCCTCACGACACCACAACCTCTCTCTCCAGCCCGTAAAAAAAGACAGCGACATTAGCCCAACGTACGATCGGTCGGCCGGGAGGTTCAGAATCCGCCGCATCTCTTGCGGACTCTTGCGGTGCTGCTTGGCAAAGAGCACGGCGATCTCGCGGCCGCCAATCTGCGACCGGTCCATCTCGAACTTGACGTCGCGGCCCACGCGCGAGTCGGCAAACTCAATGAACGCAAAGCCGCGCGGCCGATTCGAGTTGAACTCTTTCGGGAGGTACACGTCGAGGATGTCGCCCGTTCGACGCTCGAACGCGCGCCGCAGCTCGTCGGCCGTCGTCTCGGGCGACAGATTGCGCACCAAGAGACTGATGGGCTCGCGGCTACTGCGGTCGGTCGAACGCGAGCGGCGACTGCGACGCGGTTCGCGACTGCTGCGGTCGGGGCGGCGGTCGCGAGAGCGCGAGCGCACGCGGCGGGAGTTACGGGAACGCGAGCGCGAGCGCTTGGGTGGGGAAGAGTTGCGACCGCCGCGGATGCTGCCGCTGCGGCTGCGCGGACGCGTGTGGCGTGGACTGCGACGTGGGGAGGCGGATCGACGGCCCATGAGCGGCAGGATGACGTGATGCTGATCACTGGAAGCGGACGAACCTCGTGGAGCGCATGAAATAGGGAGGGGACGAGCCTGGCGAAACGCATACCTGGAGGGATAATACCGGTGTGGGGACAGGGTTTTATGTGTGTTTTTGAGCTGGTGTTTTTTTTGGAAGGAAAGTGGGTGGGTGAGTGGTTCTTTTTTTCTCCTTCTTTTTCTACCAATCACGTCTACGAGCGCGGACGCTGGCGTTGCACAGGCTCAGGCGAGCCAAGTTCGAGGCAGCGCTCGTAGGCGGCCCAGATGGCGTCAGCGATCACGGCACGGAAGCCATTCTTCTCGGCGCGGTAGAGACCAGCTGCAGTGGTGCCGCCGGGACTGGTGATGTTGTTCCGCAACTCGACTGGATGCGCGTCTTCTGCTTGCATGTACATGGCCGAGCCGAGCATCGTTTGCTGCACGAGTTTCTATAGGGAGGGAGATGAGAGATAGGAACGAGGGAGTCAGTTCGAGTGATGGTTGGGAAACAAAAGGACGTGCAACACGACGTGACGTGGTGTGTTTTTTTTCTTGTATCGTACCGTGGCCACGGGTCGAGAAAAGCCCATGTGCACGCCCGTGTCAATCATTGCCTCGGCCACGAGGAAAAAGTAGGCTGTAGAAATGACGACGATCCATTAGGAGACATTCGGACGAAGGAACGTATGCACATTACAGCAACAATAGAGGCACTGTACCTGGTCCTGATCCAGACAATGCTGTGGCCATGTCCAGTGCATTCTCGTCGTCCACAAACACCTGAAAACACATGCAAGAACAATCACAACAGAGATGACTTAGATCCGTTCAGCTTCAAGCGGCAAGGGAAAAGGAAGAGAGAGGACAAGCGATGCGTAATGCTCGATTGTCAATCAGCGCACCTCGATGCCAAACGACCCGAGGATTTGCTTGGTGAGTTCGTGCTGCACACTCGTGACTTCTGCCGACTGCGCCCACACCGTCGTGCCCTCGCCAATCATTGCCGGCGTGTTGGGCATCGTGCGAATGATGTGGCTATCTTGCCCCAGTATCGTCTGCAGCTGCTTGATGCTCTGTCCTGCCACAACCGAAATGAGCAGCGCGCCAGAGTCCATGGACGCCTTGACAGCTCGAAGCACCTTCACAGATGAGTACACACACCGTGAACAACACACTCGAGCAAGAGGGACAAAGGGACAGAGACTGAAAAGCAAACACACCCGAGTCCTAGTTCGTTCTATCTGCTACTTCCTACTGCCGCAAGGAAAGACCAACGTACATCATCAACCACTTGAGGCTTGACCGCCACCAAGATCACGTCCGCGCCTTTCACAGCCGAGCTGTTGCGCGTGTGCGTCTCCACGTTCAGCGGCGCGTACTTCGTGCGCATCGAAGGGTTCGGGTCCGACACCACGACCTTGGAGCTGGGAATGAGTCCATGAGAGAGCACGCCCGTGATCATGGCCTCTGCCATATTGCCACCACCAATGACAGCCAGTCGACGGAGCTCTAGTGCTTCGCTCTTCACGGCATCCGCGCTGCTTTTCTGCTGGTTGTTACGGACGCGCGTAGACCAGTTGTTGCTGGTGGTGAAGAAAGCCGCGGCCGCCGAGGGACGAAGGACGTGGCGGGTGACAGCTGGACGGAGCATCATGGACATGACAAGAAGATCTTCCAAGTCAAATGTGGCGCTCGAGAGAGAGAGTTCGGCGAATGTGGATCTTCGAGCCGACGTTTCGGCAGAACCAGCTGTCGATCCCCTCTTGAAATCGATATCGAGTTGGAATCGAGAAGACGCGTTAGGTCTGAGAATACATATGACGACACGCTGTACGTGTAACATTGCAGCACTTGCGGATCGGAGAACCTGTTGGAATTAATATTCTGCACGCATCGATCGTGCAGACACTCGTTATGCGCGGTCAAGTACGTCGGTAGCTACGTGCAGGAGCAATAGAGGCGACAGTCTCACGGGTCTGTGGCACTTTTATGTTGCAGCTCGAGCTGACGCCGACGTATTCGGTGCAGCTGGACGGCAAGATCCTGGCGAACGCGCATGCGGTAGGCAACGACCTGGACGGCGCCACGGAGCTGCTGTTTGGCTCGTTAACGGGCAAAGTGTCGGTCTGGAAGGTACGAAGAGGCTTTTGTGGTCAGTAAAATCGTCACTGGAGGGTATGGGTGCTGCTGGCAGGTTGTTGCCGACCGTTTAGTGCAGTGGAGAAGCTGTGCAGTGGAGAAGCTGTGCAGTGGATGGCTCCGTGACATCCATTTGTCTCGATTACTCAGTCACTGGCAGTGTAAGTGCTATAAATACTTTCGGTACATTGAGATGGAGAGGAATATGCTGTAATTGGTGTTGCTGAGTGGTGTGGTACGGTGCTTTTGATGGGAGCAGCTTCGGGTTATTGTCGCGACGGCCGAAGGAACGTGCGCGGTGTTTTGTTCGGTGGACGGTGTTGAGGAGTTGCAGCTGTGCTTTGAGTTTGTAAGGATGTTTTGTCCATGTTTCGCGTGAATTTGTGTTGGTAGTAAGCTTGAGGAGAAGGTGATTGATTGATCGAGTGGGTGGATGTGGCTTCTTTTTTACTAGACTGTCGCTCTGAATATCTGTGACATTGTCCACTTGAACGATGAGCTCATTGTGGCAACGCGTGACGGTCGTGTGCTTGTATACAAACGGAATGATGCAGAGGCTGGCAAGGTTCGTGTGTGTGTGTATCACTGTTGACTGTAAGGAGCAGGTCACGAGATTCTTGTGGTCAGGTGGCAGAGTACGCGCAGGTCGCACAAATGGAGATCGATGACGAGGTCGAAAAACTGATTGTAGTGCAGCCCGAGCTGCTGGATTCAGATGCTTCGCCCCAGCTTCTTGTCCGGTGTTTTTCTGGTCGAGTATTTTGTCTGAGTGGGCCAAGCACATTGGGGGCAGCTCACAAGCGAGAAATCGTGCCGTGGAACGGACCACTTACCAGTGGCGATGGTATGACTTTCGTCGTTGCCGACATTGAACTAAACGGATCGCGAGGCATGGTCGCGCTTGTATCCATGTGCGGTCTAGTATCGCTCTTCTCATCATCAGGAGAAAAGCAGTGGGATTATCAGGTACGTCATGGAGCGCAAGTTTACTAGCTAGATAGATACTGTCGATCTTACTCGCGTCTGTGCAGTTGCCAGAAGCTGTGGTCAACGCTGACAAACTCGAAATGACCGTGCCTGAAGGAGGACGTCAGGATGCTGTACGTTATGTGTGGACCCTTGTGCGGCATTGTGGTGGTGTTCTCTGATCGCGGATGATTGCAGATTGTGGTCTGTACTTGGACTGGACAACTGTATGCGATTCAAAGCGAGCGAAAACTCGTGCGCTTCCGAATGCCGCTGCCTGGTTGCTCCATGTTTTGTGGTGAGCTGCATGGCATTGATAGATTGCTAATTTCGGCCAATTCGTTCGTTTGACCTCGCTCGTTTTCTTTGCAAAAGTTGGCATTTGCGATTTGACTGCCCAGGTTGACCCCACTATTGTCGGGATCAGCACTTCTGGCACAGTTTTCGTTTACCGTGACGTTCAAGACACGCTTATTCGAGGTCTGCAGGACGTAACGTTGGTACGCAAAAGCAAGGGGCGCTATGCTCAGTGCATTTTTGGCAGACGTTAACGTGCTCTTGAATGTGTTTTAGGCGCATAAAATCAAGCAGAGCTCTGTGTTTGCTCAACTGGACACCTTAGAAAAGCGAAAAGATGTGATGATGAAGCTGTGCACTACGTTTCCACAAGCTGTCGTGTCCGCCGAGATTACAATGCCCAGTGTGGAGGACCTGATTAAGGTTATGCTTACTGTTCCTGTGCAGCCGTAGCAGCGAAGCGTCAATGTGTACACTGCGAATTTACAACCCCTTCCCGAGTTTAACAGCTTTGCAACTGGTACGCGTACTCGATGAGATTTGCCACGTTATCAGGGCCCAGGTAAAGCAGTTTTCGAGCAAAATCACCGACGTAGCTAAGATGCAAGCTGGCATCGGATGCACGGTTGGAGTTGTGCTTCCAAGATGTGTCGAATGCCCGAAGGGCGACACAGAACAGCTCAAAAAATGCCACGGGGTCCTCAAAGAGTCTCCAGAACGGACGCTCTGAGCCCAGACACCCACCGTCCTGTAATTGCAGCAAGTCGGCTAACATGTAAGCGATCTGGTATCCCACCAGCGCGTATGAATAAGCCTCTGGTCCGTTCTGGTCAGCCAGCATGGGCAACGCCACTGCACGATGCATTTCGAGAAAATAAAGCAGACACTGCAACGGCAGCAAAAACTGCGTCTCACGCATAGGATCGCCGTGTCGGAACCCGATTCTGTTCCACTCGAGGCTTGTCAACGCAAACGGCTGTGCATCAAAGCAGGACGCCCACAAGCGCTGTAGCAAGTCGAGATGCTCGCGGTTTTCAGGATGTAATGATGTCTGCATGGCGCCAATGAGCTTGGCTAGTTGTGCTAATACCGACGCCGTGGGCGGTGCACTACTACCCCCAGCTCCACCTCCAGATGCTGCCGCCGTCACCTTTTCCCACATTTGCACCGAGTGTTTCTGCAGCGTTTGTGCCACGACTGAACTCTTGATCTTGGACGCCAGCGCGTTCTTCGCACCAATTAGCACTTTACCCACGTCATGCGTCTGCACTTGAGGCACACGATAGTCACTACAAGCCTCCCTCGTAAATCGGTTCTGCCAATCAAAGAAGGCACGGAACTGTCGGTCTTCCAATACGTCCACGAGCTCCTCATTGACCGTCAACAGCTTCCCCAATGGCTTCTCCTTCCCCTGCTTCTTCTTCACCTTGTCATCCTCCTCTTCTTCTTCTTCTCCATCATCATCTTCACCGTCTTCTTCTTCTCTCTGGAGCTGCAAAACCTTCACTCGAATCTCTCCATTACCAGCAACAGGCAGCACTTGAGTCTCCTCGACCAGATCTCGCCAATAGTAAAAACGCGAAGACGCCGCTTCAACCTGCAGACGAAAGTGATACGAGCCTTCAAATGGAAACTTGCGGCGCAGCTCCGCGACATTCGGGCACGACGACAGCAGGAAGGATGACGTCAACTCCTCGAGACGCGAGTCGGCGGTCCCTTCTTCGCACAGCGTCTGCTGGAAAAAGTAGCGGCACAAGACGCCGCACGCAGCCATGTTCGTGCTCGAGTGTGTGTGCGAGCGTCTCCTGTCCGTTCATTGGCTATTAAGCTGTTTGAGTGTCAACTCGAACAACCGGTACGTGATTGGCTGAAAGTGGGCTAAAATCGCTCATTTCGACCGGCTGTCTCGCTTCCAAGGCCATGGAAGACGACGAGTGGGACGACGCGCTGCTGTTGGAGCTCGCGGCGCTCGAGACACAAGCGCTCGAGACGCAGCGCCATCAGGATCTGGTCCACAAGCATCAACCGATTGCAGCTGCAGCAGTTTTAAGCACTGAGGCTCTCGACTCGTGGAGCTGTCGGTCGTGCACCCTGCAGAACGAAGCGTCAAGTGTGGCGTGTACTGTGTGCGCCACACCACGCACTCGATCTGCAGCAGGGAAGAAGACGGTACAAGCCACGCTGTCTTTTGATGGAAATGCAGCGGCTGTGGCAACAGCGCGGCCACGTCTCCCGCAAAAAGTGCACCAAGAGGGACAGCATCTCGCTACTGCTACAATCGCTGCTGTTGCAACAGCTGCTGCTACAACTGCTGCTGATTCTACACGAGAGGCAGCTGTTCCTTTGTTGTTAACACCTCGTCATGCTGCAGGAGAAGACGTTGATGCGAAATTGAGGTACTTGGATGTGGAGACGACAGTGACGTGTCCTCCAATTGACTGTGAGGCAGCGCAGTATTTCGTGTATCCGACGAACTACTCGATTCGAGACTACCAGTTGACTATTGCAGAGAAGGCTTTGTACCACAATACACTTGTGGCACTGCCAACGGGACTGGGTAAGACGCTCGTGGCAGCTGTCGTCATGTATAATTTCTATCGGTGGTTCCCGACTGGAAAGATCGTGTTTATGGCGCCAACGAAACCGTTGGTAGCTCAACAGATTAAAGCTTGTCATGAGATTATGGGCATTCCGCTATCGGACACGGCTGAGCTGCAGGGCAATGTGCCTCCGACCATGCGTCGCGTGCTCTGGAAATCAAGACGAGTGTTTTTCTGCACTCCGCAGAGCTTGCAGAACGACTTGAATCGAGGCGTATGTGCTGCAGAGAAGTTCGTGTGCATTGTGGTGGACGAAGCCCATCGTGCAACGGGCAACTATGCGTACTGCTGTGTAGTTCAGGAGATCGAAGCGAAGACGCAGTTCTTTCGCGTACTAGCACTTTCCGCGACGCCTGGGACAAAGTTCGACGTGATTCAAGACGTGGTGACCAATCTGCGCATTTCTCACATTGAATGTCGGTCGGCAGATGATTCTGATGTGAAGAAGTATACTCACGTTCGTCAAGAAGAGGTGGTCATTTGTCGTTTAGGAACTCATATATTAGAAGTGAAGGCAAAGTTTATGAAGTGCTTTACACCGATTGTTCAGCGGCTCCTTCGTAGTAACATCATTCAATATGCTGATCCGGAGAAGCTCACGAGTTGGTATGTACTACAAGCGCGAGAGAAATTTCGTAAGAGCCCAAATTACGAATCGAACCGCAGCGCTGAGAGTGACCTTGCACTACTGGTAAGTTTGTTGCACGCCAAGAGTCTGTTGACAGGCCACGGACTTAGCAGCTTCCAAGATCAGATCACAAACTGGGTCGAGGAACGCAAAAAGGGGAAAATGTCGTGGTCCAAGAGAGAAATGTTGCACTCGTCCGAGTTTCAGTCACTTGAGTTGAGCTTGGCGGCGACTGCCAGTACTGACGGCTCTGCCAGCCACCCAAAATTAATAAAGCTTCGTGAGGTGCTACTGGAGCATTTCAAACGTCGTGCAGCAGGAAAATCCAACACGCGTGCGATCGTTTTCACCCAGTATCGAGCAAGCGTGTCCGAAATCGTTGCGCTACTACGCCCGCTAGCACCTTTACTCAATGTGCAACCATTTGTTGGCCAGGGAGCGTCAGGCAAAGCCAAGGAAAACAAAGGGCAGTCGCAGAAGGTACAACAAGATATTGTGCGCAGGTTCCGATCGGGAGACTACAACGTTCTCGTTGCCACGTGTATTGCAGAGGAAGGTCTGGACATTGGCGAAGTTGACCTTATCGTATCATTTGATGCCCTTACTTCGCCGGTGCGAATGATCCAGCGCATGGGCAGAACAGGACGCAAGCGCGTGGGTCGAGTCATCATTCTGGTAACGGAGGGTGAAGAGCAAAAGAAACTGGCACGCAGTGCATCCGCTGCGAAGACTGTGAGTCGTGCCCTTACAACATTTAAGAGTAGGTTTACGTACTCGAAGTGTCCGCGAATGCTACCGGCTGGCATTTACCCACAGCTGAGGGAACTGGCGATGAAGATTCCGACTTTCCATGCATCGCAAGTTGGCGGCAAAACTGCTTCGGGGGCGGTTGACCCGAATCTATGGCAGCTTAGTGAAGCGGAACGAGCCGTGGCATTGATGAAATATTTCCCACCAAACTTTGCAGCAAGCTCGAGGAATAGATTGGATCCGGTTGTTGCGAGTCGGAGGCATTTACTGCGTCGCCAACCGCGCTCCTTGGTACGAAAGAATGTGGGAACTCGAGTGGGCTATAGCTCGCGCTCACTTATGTTGCAGGCGCTGGTTCGGAAAATTCACCGTGTCGAAGCAGTTTTGGAGACAGAGTCAGTCAGTGAAGATGGCGAAAGTGGTGACGAAAACGGAAACGAGGCTGGCGTGACAGATTCTAGTATCGTCGTACTGTCAGAATCCACAAAGAAGCGTGTCGGTTGTCGCGGATCCGCACCTTTGAAAAACGATTGCTATAGAATCGGTGTGGATACGAGCACCGAGCGACCTGATGGCGAGGCAGGCTCGCCTTCGCGACACAGGAGTGCTCACAGTGAGCTCGATGGTGATGCTCAATACGACAGATCACTTGCTTTGATGAATGAGACTGCGGATGCTTTCGATATGCACTTCAGCCCCCAATTTGTTGATGCAGCAACTCAGTCTATTGAGGGGAGTGAGCGTCAAAACAGGGATAACATTCAAGACGGTCAAAAGAAGCAGATGTCGGAATGTGCGGACAGTGTTTCGAAAGAGGTGTCCGCTAGTCTCGGCTTGGTATTTACTATGAGTACAACAGAGTCCGCAAACAATGAAGATAACCCGTGTCGATCACCGAATAGGTCTGAAACCATTCACATCGGTGTGAATCATACTGACAACTTGACGAAGTCTCATCAGGTGTCTACAGCATCTCCTTTGGCTGTTGCTTCTGATCGTCTTCGCCCTCCCTCAAGCTCGTGCGAGGGTGTCTGCTACGAAGAAATTTCCGGACAGGAGAACGGTTCTTGGTCTACCAAGGTTTCAAGTGCTTCTCGATCACGTAGCATGCGGCAATTGCAATTCAATGAGAATGAAGATGGTGACCACTCCATGGACCGATCACAAAGCACCAAGATTTTACAGCGAGAAGCTGTTGTGAAAGAATTTGAAACTGAAGAAGCACCGGAGAAGCAGGACGTGTCGATAGTGGAAGACGAAGACCATTCTGGCTTTTCATTCGCATTGTTACCAACGGACCCATGCGCTACTGGTGAGGCGGCTACTAAGTGTGAAACTGAGAGGTCAATAGCAAACGAAGATCCGGCCGAGGAAGTATCTTCTGCTTACTCATTTGCTTTGCTGCCACCCATTGACACAAAGAATGGAGGCACATCGGACGGTCATGGTATCTCGGCAAAGTCAACAGAAGCCGACAGCGAGTACCAATCCGCTCTGGACAGCACCGATTTCGATGAGGTCGATGGAGCGGACGAGGCGACAATTGTAGACAAGGACAGGTTGGTGGGCAACAAAAGACGCATAGAATCGAACGTACTGATTGCTACACTAGAGAAAGCGGGGCATAACGCCGTGGTGAAAGTCAACGAGAAATCAATGGTAGAGGGTACACTGAAGCTGTCGGAAACTCGGGCAAATGACAATACGCGCACGCCATCTCAGAGTCAGCTGACAGAAACTGAATCGAAGCAGGTGGGCGAAGCTTGCTGCTCGATTTGTCGGGAAAGCGAGTCATACGATGACGATCCGATTGTGTTTTGCGATGGGTGCAATGTGGCAGTCCATCAGTTTTGCTACGGAATCAGCGTCGTTCCTAGTGGTAAGTGGTTCTGTGATTTCTGCGCCGGTACGAGAAAAGTGGCAAATGCAAACCAACGAGCCTGCCAGCTTTGCCCACTCCGCAATGGCGCGCTCAAACGGACAAAGTGTGGAAAATGGGTGCACGTTCAATGTTTCTTGTGGATTCCAGAACTTCGAGTGGAGAATAGCGACGATGAGTTGCTTGTTCTTGGTGACTTGAGCATCTTAGACCAAGACCGCAAAACGCTTGATTGCTCCTTGTGTCACTCGCAGAAGGGAAATGGAAAGATCCAGTGCGCATACAAGAGATGCTTGACTGCCTTTCATGTCAGTTGTGCTGCCTTCGCACACTATCGCATGGACCAACTGGATCCTCCAGATGGTGAAGAATCGGGATGTGGAACATTGTTTTTGGCGTATTGCTTGCTACATCGCGATTCTCGAGCTTCAGCAATTTTTCCCGTGCAGCCAAACACACCCTTGCCAGTCAAAGCTCGTGACTCCAAGCCTTCATTATCTACTGTAGCAAAGCTGTCATCCCCGAGCCATTTGTTGGCATCGCCTCCGTCAGCAGAGGCAAAAAATAAGTTCAAAACCTTCCGGCGACTAAAGCGCAAGTACGATGCAACGCAATCGCAAATGTTTTCACAGCCGGAAAAGAACATGTCGCCGTCCACTTCTCCGCCGTGGCAGAAGCACATCAAGCGGTCGAAGCGGCGACGGGAGACGTCCCGGGTCTTGGCAGCTGCGTATATTGAAGATGCCGCAGAAGTCCGAGGAGAAGCAGGTTGTGACGATGACGAGGAAGACGACTACGGAGACGATTACAAAGAAGCAGCTGACGACTCGTTTATTAACGACTCATCGCAGCTACTTTATTCGCAGTCAGTCGTGTCTCCAGAAGACACTGATCAAGACCAGTCAAGGAAGAAGAAGCGGAAGAAGTCCAGTCCCAACATGCGCGCTATATATGCGCGATCACTGTTTGAGTCGCAGAGTTCCCCACTACTGTTGCGCCAAGGCGGGCGACAGTTGGGAACTCTCCCGTCAAATGGTATTATCCAGGCTTGTTTAACTAAGTTGCAGAACTTGAATGAAGCGGACCCGCTGCTCTCGAGACCACGTTCCTCGTCACGATTGCTCCAAACAACAGAAGACGTATCGGGAGCACGATCAGCGTCACCAGTCCCAATTTGCGCTTCTGCCGTTGTGATTGACTCTGATGAAGACGATAGTGCCTATGAAGCCGAACCATCGCCCAGTTTCGATCTGCTCGGCTCTGCCAAATCGCTCCAGAGATCGAAAGTGCACACTCACGGACCGGATGAGCAAGACGAGAGCGATAACGCAAAAACAGCAGATACTGAAGTAGCTATGCTGATCAGTGGCGTGGTTGGCGCAAAACGATCGCGTGCTGGTGCTGCTATTACCAATGTGATGGACTCAAAATGTCGCGAAGCAGAAGAACCCGGTCGCGCTCAATTGAGGGATAGCTTGCATGATAATGAAGAAGCTGAGCTGCGAAAGAAGGTTGAAGCAAACCGTATCAAGGCTCTCAAAAAGCTGGGCGAACGCAGGCAAATGGAGCTCCAGCACGCCCGACTACAGCATCAACAACAATTTAACGAAGTGCCTTCGTCAAAAAATGGCCAGAGGGCCAATGACTCGAACAGACCCGCTGACGGATGCGTTGTGACTGGTGCTACTTCGTCCATGAAGGCGCACGGAAACGAATCAGGTGCTCGAAATCACGCAGCGAAAGCGATCAGGGCACTTAACTCCCCTGTCCCGGATTTCCAACGTGCCATGAGTACCATCGATCTAACAGGCTCGGAGTCGACGAAACCTAGCCATTCTCAGCAGGATCAATTACCTAAGTGGACCATCTTCGTCAGTTCGACCTTCGCCAGCTCACATAGTTTCCCGCACTTTCTGTCAACGAAGTCCACCGGGTGCGCTGTGCTCACCGATGATTCATTGGAGGCAGATGCTCTTCTGAGCGTTCGTGCGGCAGTGCTGTTCCTCACGGGCCAACAGCTGCATGAATTGAGCCTTACTAGCTTGGGTCAACAAGCCGGAAAAAGCCGGCGGGTTAGGATGCTACTGGCAATGCACAAAAAGGTTGTTGTGGCAGTTGTTTACGATGGAAGTAATACACCTGAGGTCCCGTGGTTGAAGCAGCTTCCAAATGCAACGTTCGTTGTTCGCCCGCGCTTCGATTCCTTGTGTAAAGAGCTCCACAAATTTGCCCACCAAGAACTTGTGAAAGGTTACGAATTACCATCCCCAAGCTTGTGTTATCGTGATGTGAGTGATAGCAGAGTCAAGGGGTTGGACGCCAACTTTGCGTCGCGGCTCAAGTTTTTTCGCGCGCTTCCGCCGTTATCGCTCGGCAGTGCGATTTCTCTCAGTTTTCGCTTCGAGAACTTTGCGGCAAAGCAGGTGCCAGTGCTCAAGTTTAATGAGATGCACTGGAGACGGATGCTGCCGTGGATATCGGAGTCAACCGCGCGACAAATCCAGGAACACGTCAAGCAAAATGCGCAGCGGCATTGAGAGCATTAGCTGAGCTCACGTTGACGCTTATTACATCAAACCCTGTACAGAAAGGGACGCAGTCTAATTCTTTAGGGACTCGATCACGCGAATGGAATCGTCTAGTGTCTTGTCATCTTTGCAAAAAGCAAGACGTACGACACCCGGGGCAAGGCGGTTTTCCGGACGACTGAAGAAGGGTGATGTTGGGATCACCGCCAAATGGCCAGCCTTGACCAGCTTGTACGCGAATTGATAATCCGGGTACAGCTGCATACGCCGCCACAAAGCAACGCCAACCGATTATGTGAGTGCACGGCAACTCCCTCACAAGCGCAACAAGCGTACCGTCTTGGGGGTGTCCGACGTAACCTCAATCTCGCGAAACTCATTGTAAAACGGCAAGCCTTCGACGTTACAGCACACAAAGTACCCGCCTTGTGGAACAATTGGACGCCAGTTGTGACCCTCAAGCGCGTCACACAGACGGTTGCGCTTCGTCTGCTCCATGTAAAGTTAGTCATGTACACTACCGAACAAATAGAAAATGGCACGACCTGGCGTCTAACCGTTTGTAACCCACCTCCATTGTCTCTCGCAGCTCGTCAAAATATCCATTCACCTGTGCTTGCCGGAAAACTGAAGCCAGCGCCACTTCAAACGGAGTCGTACCACAGAATGGGACCGTGCTGTGGGCTTTAGTAACGCCTTCGACCAAGTGAGCTGGGCCCACAGCGTAATTCACACGCCAGCCCGTGCACGAAAAGGTTTTGCCAGCACTAAAGAGTGAAATTGTACGATCAAAAAATCCCGGCAGTGCTGCGATCCGTTCATGGACGACGCCGTCGTACGTCATAAATTCGTACACTTCATCGGACAGTACAACAATATCCGGATACTTCTCCAGCACATGGGCAAACTGGAGCACTTCATCGCGGGACAAGGCTTTGCCAGTCGGATTATGCGGACTATTCAATATCAACAACTTGGTCTTGGATGTTATTTTCGCCTCGAGTTTATCCATATCCACGATAAAATCCCGCGAGGACAAAACATCGCTACTTTTATCCGGCTTATAGCGAAACGGCACACCTTTTGCACGCACGCCGTGCAGCTGCGCGACCGTCACGTAGGCATCAAAATACGGCTCCAGCGTCAGGACTTCGTCTCCGGGCTCCAGAACGGCCGAGAGAATCGACGCCAGTCCTTCCTGAGCGCCATTAAACGTCACGATCTCGTGCATCGGGTCCAGCGTGCGTCCAAGTAGAGGCGAATACATCTCGGCCAGCGTCTGGACGTACTGTATGTGACCTCCTGGCCTTGTGTATTGGTTATTATCCTGGATAATCGCTTTTATCGCAGCTTGTTGGACAAAATCCGGCGTCGGGAACGATGGAAACCCCTGGCCCAAGTTTACAGCGTTGTGCTGAGCAGCGAGCGCCGAGAACTCGGCAAACACATTTGGCGGTAACGTGCGTACGCGGTGTGAGATACGACGCGCGTGGTGAGTCGCGAGGAGCGCGACGTTGCGTCTGGCCAAGGACATGATTCTTAGATGGATGTTTGCAATTGGCTGGAGTGGATTGGGATAATTGGGTGTTTGAGGATGGATAATTTGCTGTGAGGAGGAACGATGTTGAAAACAAAAAACGAAGTAATATTTGATTTTCAAAGTGGTAAAATAGGGGCAAGGCTTGGTTATCGCTAGTTGGTGTGAGCACACGTTTATTTCATGTTCAATTAAAAATAATGAATTATTTTAAAAAAAAATCATTTTTGTGTGTGATATATTTAATTAATTTAAAAATTCTTTTTAAAAAAATGAAACATTTTTTAAATTTATTATGTTATGATCATGTCGTTTTCCATATATAAAAGGTAATAGTTCTTTATTTGTTGAACTTAAAGACTCTCCATACATATTTTTTGATTTAAATAATAAATTTAATTAGCTCAATTTAGAGAAGTACAAGCTTTTGCTCAATTTGGTTCAGATTTAGACGCGACTACTCAACAACAATTAAATAGAGGAGTTCGTTTAACTGAAATGTTAAAACAGGGTTTAAATATTCCTTTATCTGTTGAAGATCATATTGTAATTATTTATTTAGGTGTTCGTGGTTTTTTAGATAAAATTGCAGTAAATAAAAATTCAATTTTTGAAACTAATTGGTTAAATTTTATTAAAACTAATAAATCTGATATTTTAAAAGAAATTTTAACTAAAAAAGAAATTTCAAAAGAATTAGATAAAAAATCACATATTTTAGCAACAGATTTTACAAAACGCAAAATGAATCAGCTTTCAAATCAACGCTTCATTATAATCACCTCAAAAGGTCACACTGTTTATCTCGAGGTTTCATCGCCTTCCTCAGTACCGCCATCACCGTAGCTGCAGCACCACTTCCCCCACATTCCGATGATAGAGAATTTGCCATCACTTTAGTATCAACGCCCACCAGATGATGAAAAGAACAGGAAACAAGATACCAAGTAGTCAGCCGCCTTGCAGCGATGATGCTACAAGAACCCTATGTAAACTTGTTTGGAGCAAAAACGCATGCGTATATGGTTGTCGGAGTCGTTCTATACTCTTTCCTTTTGGCCCCATTTCTTCGCTAATTCTTCACAGAATGACCTCAACGTACGCTCCTGAAGTTTATCGTATGGATGATTTTGACCTACTTCTTGGCGCACGATACCGTCTCTACGATACCCAGCATAGACGGATGCTTCATCTGTACTTTTGCATCCGATTACAACCTGCCCTTTTTGACTTCAATCAGAAATTGCATTGCTGCATTCGCACAAGGTCAATCGAAATATGCGTTACACACGAACTAGAAATGATGTTTTGCTTCTTTCATCACCATTCCGTATGATCGGGTATCTTACGCCTTCGAGTCGTTTGTTTCTCTGAAAAATGATGTAGCAGCTCAACTTTCGCTATTCCTCCGATGCAGATTACAGGTATGTATGGGATGCTTATGTGGTGTGAACATCAGCTTCCGCATGTAATTGTGTATGAATATACATGATCATGTCGTCGTGAACTGTTTCTTGCTGCAAAGAAGGTCCGTATACAGGGATATGATGTCGTTTTGAAACGTTCGATCGAAAAGGAACAGAAGCGTGTCATCGTGTGTCGTATTGGTATGTTAATGTAGTGCCGCACTGTTCTGTTCGGTACATCATGGATAAGGCTAGTGCTCAGCTATCGTATGGGAACCGAGCATGTACAGGGGTCAACAAAAGTATATGAATGGATCAAATTGATTGTATGGGTCAAATTAAGTACAGAGATCAAATCGAGTACAGAGATCGAATCGAGTATGGGGATCGAATTGAGTGTGGGGATCGAATCCAGCATAGGGATTCAATTACGAGCAGAGTTCAATTAATGTGGGACGAAATATTAAGCAGAGACCAAACGTAGTATAAGTGTAACGGGGTGAATCGTTACATAACAATTTATAAGAAATTGTTAATAGAATATAACTATAAGAGTTATATTCTCAGAATATTGTCATAAGGACAATATTCTGTAGCACTTCCAAGTAGTTCCTAATTGGTTGATATAGGCCATTATATCAACCAACGAAGACGCGCCACGACAGACGCACGCAATGAGTGGTGAGCAGATAACTGATTTACACATTTGTATTTAGACATAGTTAGATGAAGATAAATAGTGATTTATTGCAGACATTAACTATTATAAATACAGTTCTACTTTTACTCTAACCAAGTACTCGCTTCTTCTTACCGTCTTCCTCTGCACGTACGAGTGTACGTGAAGTTACGAGGCACCGCCTTATTCTGTTATCAGAATAAGTAGCTTGTACTGTCACCAGTACAAGCTTCAGGGTGCCCCGTTACACCTGGTAGCACTTCGTAGTCCGTCCAAGGACCGCGTTCACATCCAACATGAATATGTTGGATGATGAAGATGACCAAAGCTTTTACGCTACGCGTGACGGCTACTCCCATTTGAGCGATGTCGAATGGGATGCGGTTGAACTAATGGGTTCAACCATGGGCATCCATGCTGTTAGCGTCATGCTAGAGGCTCTCAATAGAGATGCCCAACATGCTACTATCGCCAAGTTCATTCAAAATGAACTTGACGCCGAACGCGAGAAAGTAGCCTTGCTTCACCAACAAGGTTCTCAACAAGCAGAGTCGTTGAGAGAACAGGGTGCTCAACAGTTTGAACTGTTGAGACAGCAGCAGGCTGCTGCTGGCGGGTCGATGCACTCGCGTCGACCCGAAACCTTGAAGATTGACATCTCCAAGTATAGGGGAGTCGAAGAGGACTCCCTCTTGAGATGGTTCGTCGAATTGGATGACGCCATAAGGGCGCGTCGCATCGACGACGGGGATGTGCAAGTTGCATTTGCCCAGTCAAATTTGGCAGGACGTGCCAAGACTTGGGCACTGGGGCTCAAGTTGCACGACCCATATGCGTTTGGGTCGTTGGAAGTCTTCAAGTCGCGGCTCAGACAAACGTTTGAACCGCCTAGAGCTGAGTTCAGAGCTCGAACCGAACTCTTGAAGCTCAAGCAGGGTAAGCGTGATGTTCACGCTTACGCTCAACATATACGACATCTCACGAGTTGTATAAGTTCCAATCCGGTGGATGAACACACGTTGGTTTCGGTGTTCATGCAGGGTCTTGCGGATGGTCCCGTCAAGACTCACCTGTTCCGGCTTGAACTAGATTCACTAGAACAAGCCATTTCCATTGCGGAGCAGGAAGACTTCAGTCTGAGACAGGCTCGCGCCAGCTCGACATCATATCGTCAACCGAGGCGATATGACAACGGAGGTCCAGAGCCGATGGAACTCTGTTATGTAGAGAGCGAGAAGGATCGCTCTACAGGCTACAAGAAGTTGCAGAGATGCAACAGATGTCAAAAGACAGGACACTACGCTTACGAGTGTAGTGCCCCTCGTCCAGTGTCTCGCGACACTGGGCGTAGTGACCGTCCACCCATGAGAAAGGGGCAGGGACGAGGGTCCGCAGTTGGTGCAAAGACGCAACAACGTGATGGACCGTCAAAAAACGGACAGGATCAGTAGGTGCGGAGCACCCTACTGGTCTAGCAACGTCAAGAGAATTTGTAGGCCTCTTGATGAAGGTTGCTCCCAACACACAAACGTTGTGCGTTGCTGCTCTAGATAATGAGGTCTCACTCATTACCTTGAAACTCGAAGTGACGAATAAGTTGTCCCTTCGAGCTCTAGTCGATTATGGGGCGTCCAACAATTTTGTGCGACGCCAATCACTAGAAGATGGTCACTTTAAATTCAGTGAATGTGACACACCTCCTACGAGGATGACGGTACGTCTTGCGACAGGCGCATCCGTAACCGTCATGAAGCGTATAGTGAAGATCCACTATACGCTAGAAGATACCCAATATGACGATGACTTTATCGTATTGGATTTGGATGACAAATTTGATGTCATCCTTGGAATACCGTGGCTCAGAAGGTACGAACCACGAGTAAACTGGCAACATCGAACAGTAACGATGCCTGCCGCTTGTTCATCAGATGGCCATCTGATGAACGTTTTGGAGAGTCCACAAGCGTGTGGATGTACTACGAGTGAGTGCGATGGCCTCACTTGTTGTACGGTCGTAAGTACGACTGCACAAAACCTTATTTTACCAAACGGTTACACTTCGGAGCAAAGTTCCGGCGGCTGTGAGGAAACACAGGCTGCGCCGAAGGTCCACCACTCGAATAAGTCGGGTGGACTGGGACAAAGATGTATCCCTAGCGGGGAAGATCTAGAAGAGAAACAATCGATCGCTCAGGTTAAGCGAAACGATAATCCTAGATCGACTGGAGAGTCTTTCGTAGAGGATCTCGCTGTGGTTGCGCAACACCAGCTAGAGGAAATAAAGGGAATAAGTCCCAAGATTACAAATACGGCAGAAATAAGTTCCCCGAAACCCGCGGGAATAAGTCCCCGGGAAGACGAAGGAATAAGTCCTTCGAAGCCTGAGGGAATAAGTCCCCAGGAAATGACAGAGACATTGAATGTCATAGTCAATAACGGATCAAGTGTAGGCGCTTATACACTTGATCTGATTGCGCCTCCGAAGTTAACTTCGGAGATCACTCAGTTGCCAACGCTCGAACATAAAAGGTTCTTGCGTGATCTGCGTAGTGGCAAAGTCAAGCAGATCTGCATACTCGTCGCTGACGACGAGTGTGTAACCGACATAAGGTCAGCAACAGTGTTCACTGAGAACGAGAGAGTTCTCAGTAGTTCATCTATGGACGAGAGTGTCCTAGATTAAAAGACACGAATTGAGCGATATGAGTCCCAATCATGGGAATCGCTCAAGGAAAATCCTCTCTATGAAGATTTGGTTGAATTCAAGGATGTATTCCCTGAAACTGTTCCGTGCGAATTACCGAAGGATAAAGGTATTCGACACGAAGTCGAGCTTAAACCAGGCTCGAAGTACTGTGTCATGAAGCAGTGGCCACTGCCTCGTGAACAAGTACTTGCGATCGACAAGTTCTTTGCCGATCGTTTACCTGCGGGCCATGTGAGGGAATCAACTTCCCCACATAGCTCTCCGACCTTCTGTGTGCGAAAAGCAACAGGAGGGTGGCGGATAGTGCACGCGTTCAACAAATTGAACGCTGCAACGGTACCGGCTCAGACGCCGATACCGAGGAAGGACGTAATCATTGATGGTATGTCAAAGAGTACCATCTTTTCGTCCATGGATTTGATGGATGGCTTCTATCAAATCCTTATGCGGGAACGGGATATACCCTATACCGCAGTTAGCACGCCTAGCGGCATGCTCTGGGAATGGCTAGTAATGCCACAAGGGCTCAGTAATGCCCCTGCCACGTTCAACAGGTGTGTATCACATCTGTTGAGGCCAGTACGAGAATTCGCGCCGAGTTATTTCGATGACGTATTCATCCATAGTCGAGCTATGGATGGAAAGTCGGACGTTGAGGTTCACAAGTACCACGTCCGACAAGTTCTTACAATCATGCGAAAGCATCAATTGTATGCAAACCTCAAGAAGTGTATATTTGCAGCAAGCGAAATACCACTTCTTGGGTGCATCGTTGGTAAGAACGGTGTACGTCCTGATCCCGAAAAGATCAAGGCGATCACCGACTGGCCCGTGCCGGTCGATGTCAAAGGTCTTCGAAAATTCCTTGGGCTAGCGGCGTATTTGCATAAGTATTCACGCAATTACGCCGAGATGACTGTACACCTCTCTCGTTTGTTGAAAAAGAACGAGAGGTGGTTATGGAACGCTGAATGTCAACGCTCCTTTGAGGGTATCAAGCAGAGCTTGATACAATCCCCAGTCCTAGCAATAGCCGATCAGGACAGGCCATTTCATGTGGTCTGTGATGCCAGCGATTTCGCAATCGGCTGTGCATTAATGCAGTACGACCTTGAAGGCGTTGAACGCGTCGTCTGCTATCAGTCGCGTCAGCTGCAACCAGCTGAGCGGAACTATCCAGTGCATGACAAGGAACTCCTTGCCATGAAGTATGCACTCGCGAAGTTCAGAGTCTATCTATTAGGAGATAGACCCTTCGTTGTTTACACTGACCATGCGTCCTTACGCACGGCAGTGAACAGCCCGCACCTTTCACAACGAATGGCGCGGTGGTTGTCATTCTTTGCAGAATACAACTTTACGGTCGAGTACAAACCAGGACGACTTAATGTCGTCGCTGATGCACTCTCACGTCGTCCCGACTTTGAAACAGTCGCGAAACCCAACAGTGAGACAGTCACTGTTGCGTTTATGACGTCCTCAGTTCCATCTACAACGTTGTATGATGATGTGAGGCGGGCATACGCCCAAGATGGTGAGATAGTGAAGTTGTTGTCACATCTCTCCCAACCATCTCGAGAATCGTTGAAACGATTGTCGTCTGCGTATCGATCTGCATCAGATCGATACACTACTCGTAACGGTTTACTGTACTATACAGCCGTTTCTGGTGACACACCACGTGTTGTCATTCCAGATGATACTGATCTGCGTTTGCGGATCATGTTCGAGTATCACGATGCTCCTATAGGAGGACATCGTGGCCGAGAGAAAACATATCTCACGGTAAGTCGAGACTTTTACTGGCCCCGCCAGTATCAGTTTGTGCGAAAGTATGTTCGCGCATGCGAAGTCTGCCAACGAGTGAAGTCAAGTCCTTCACTGCGTGCACCTTTACAGCCTCTACCGGTTCCGGCTGAGTGCTGGGAATCCATCTCAATGGATTTCGTCTTCGGGTTACCCAAAGACGCACGCGGGAATACGGGTATTCTCGTATTTGTTGACAGATTCAGCAAAATGGTACACCTTGTGGCTGTACCAGAGACAATCACGGCAAGTGGCTGTGCTTGTGTCTTTATTGACACCATCTTCCGACTTCATGGGTTGCCCCGTGAACTCGTATCAGACAGAGATCCACGATTCACTGCTGATTTCTGGCGTTCCGTGTTCAAATCACTCGGAACGCGCTTGAAGATGTCAACATCTGATCATCCAGAGTCAGATGGTCAGACGGAACGTGCCAATCGTGTCCTTGAAGAGATACTTCGAGGATACGTACACTCCTTTAAGAGTTGGAGTGAGTTTTTGCCGATGGTAGAGTTTGCCATCAACAACTCGGTGCATGCGTCCACGACACATACACCGTTTTACGTGAATGGCTTGCGCCATCCGCGTGTACCCACCTTACTAGAGTGTAACTCTGGTTTAAGGGGGGAGGGACTCGCGCGAGCAAAAACCGATTTGGTTCACGCTCATCACGCTCTGACGAAGAAGTCATTGCGTTTGATGCCGATATCGATAACATCGATATCGAAGAAGATGATGCCAGTGAGAGTGCGGAAGCCCTCACTGAAGACAATGATCCCAGTGAGAGTGCGGAAGCCCTCACTGAAGAAAAGGTTGTTGTCGCTGCAGTGCGCTCACAGCACACTGAAGCTAACGAGTCATCAGATGAGTTCATACTGGCTCGTGAAACGGTAGTCCGTTTTGTGCAAGACTCCATCGCCGAAGCGGTGGATAAGCAAAAGCAAAACGCTGACAAGAATGGAAGGGCAAACACTCTTTTATTTAATAAAGGTGACTTAGTCCTACTGTCTACGGTTAATCTACCAAAACATGTAGTGACTAACTTGGGTAGCAGTAAACTACTACCCAAGTACATTGGCCCATTTCGTGTATTGCACCGCCTAGGCAATGCATACACGATCGAGTTACCACGTAAGATGCGAACGCATCCCACGTTTTACGTTGGTCGGCTTAAGCCGTACCATCAGTACGCTGCTTCTTCCGACGAAGAACGCCCTTGCGCTCAAGCATCTCGCAGAGAGCCTTGTGCTCCCGATGGTGGGCATCAACAAGGGTCTGAAGAGCAGTTATCTCAGCCCGAGACCGATCAACAATCCCACGAGCTACCCTTAGCTCGTCACGAAGAGATGTCAGAGATCTCTCGTTCTCAAGCTGAGCAAAGGCAAACTCAGCTCGATGCTTCGAGGCAGTGTCCACCATCTGGAGACGCCTATTCCGCTCATGCTCGAGATCGTCGCGTAACCCTTGCGTTACGCGATCAAAAAACTCTCGGGAACACACCGATCCACATGATCGTGTGGAGAGCGTCTTTCCTCCTCCTCCACCTCCATTAGAGGACTCTCGCGGTGGCCAGCGCTATCTAGTAGAGCAGCTGTTGAACCACCGCGACGTGAACGGACGTCGGACGAGTTACCTCGTCCGGTGGCGCGGCTATCCCCCGTCCTGGGATTCTTGGGAGCCCCGCTCCCAATTGATGGTTGACGTACTGGGTCTGGTCGAGCAGTACGACGCGACACATCCTGTGCCGCAGAAGGACCGCCGGAGAAAGTCTTCCCGGCACGGTCGTAAAGGGATTTCAGGTTGTCAATCCCTTCGTACATCTCAGTAGAGACACGTACGCGCCACCACGGGCTGGTAAGGAGGTAAGCCTCCTTAGGTGCTCGTGCAGAGTTGTTCACACAACATGGGCACGAGTCTCCCCAAGAGAGGCAGGGTAATCCTTTCTCCCTTGACAGACGATGCAGCTTGTAGCGTGCACCTGTCGGGGTTCGCTTTTCAAACTTATCACGAGCTTTGATAAGTTTGTCGTTCCAAGCGTCACGACCTACATCCTCGAGATTATGGATGTAGGCGTTCCACGCCTGAAGTAGTGAGGGACCATCACGTTTGTGATTCCCACTGTACCATCGATGTCTGAAGAAAGCATCGATGAAGAACTCATGTTCAGCGCGATAGTCTTTCGCGCTGGGGTCAAGGTGATGAATCCTCGACGAATCGAACAATCGTGTTCGATAACGATCACTCGTCGTCGCCGACAAGTGATCCATGACAGATTTAGGAGGCATCCATGCCTTCTTTTCTGGAGCGAGACGCAACACATTGCGGTCCCGCTCTTCCTGCGACGTGCCGACAGAAGTACTGGCACCTCGCTGTGAAGTGGTGTCCATTGGAGAAACGACACCACTATTAGCGCCCGAGTCTCGCGACCTCGAGCGCCTTCGCTTCGGCGATGGTTCATCTGACTCATCAGATGAACCAAAGATGCTGCGACGCAAAGCATCGTCCATGCCACGCTTGGCAGGCGGCTTGGATTCAATTGCCGTCGATACGGATCCGTCATCCGTATCAGGAGAGTACGAGACACCGAGCTCGTACTCTGTGAAGACACGAGTGTCTTCATGACCAGCGCCTGCATCACCAGGTGATACAGGCTGAGTCGATTCAGCAACCGATGGGACATCAGTTGCTGTAGTTTCTGCTTCGGCGTCCGCACAGAGACGTGCAGACGCGCTCTCGGCGGCCTTGCTCGCGCATCGCATGGGCTTGTTTACCATGCGATGAGATGTTGGAAAGTGGACGCGGACCAACAAGTGCAAACCCCGTCCCAAATGATTTGGGACGAGTATCCATTTAGTCAATCAGTCACTAAAGTGACTGATGGTTAAGGGGGTGATGTAACGGGGTGAATCGTTACATAACAATTTATAAGAAATTGTTAATAGAATATAACTATAAGAGTTATATTCTCAGAATATTGTCATAAGGACAATATTCTGTAGCACTTCCAAGTAGTTCCTAATTGGTTGATATAGGCCATTATATCAACCAACGAAGACGCGCCACGACAGACGCACGCAATGAGTGGTGAGCAGATAACTGATTTACACATTTGTATTTAGACATAGTTAGATGAAGATAAATAGTGATTTATTGCAGACATTAACTATTATAAATACAGTTCTACTTTTTACTCTAACCAAGTACTCGCTTCTTCTTACCGTCTTCCTCTGCACGTACGAGTGTACGTGAAGTTACGAGGCACCGCCTTATTCTGTTATCAGAATAAGTAGCTTGTACTGTCACCAGTACAAGCTTCAGGGTGCCCCGTTACAATAAGGATCTCCACAACTTCTCATATCACTTCACACACTCACGCTGTCTTGGAATAACGACAGCGGACGTTCATCAACGGAGGAGGCCAGTCTCAAAGAGAGCACAGCACTACCACCGACATCCCGAGTCAATGCATGAAGTCGAATACGATCATCAAAGTTAAGGAGGTTGTCTACTAGGAAAGTCCAGTAGAAAAGAAGGTACTATAGAAATCATCCTGTAAAAGTACGGTCTTACTTTGCTCGATGGATTCGCCGTCAAGCCTACTTTCTTCTATGAACCTCACGTACGACAAACCCTGCTGAGTCCATTCACCATGGCGCCAATGTAGTCACTTCTGATTTCTTTTCGCCAGAACAGAAACGATCCGAAACGTCGTCAGACACTCCATCAATGCTGCGTGCAGAGATGAGCTTTGTGTGCGCTTGTAGGCACGGTAACCGAACTGAGCCCATATTCAACATCAGCACATTCGTGTTGAATCAGAACAGGGTCAAACGGCGACAAATGCTCAACCTCACAACTCTTAAGATTCATTTTCCCTGTATTTGCTTCTGTCAGCATAGCACCACTGTCATGACTTGTAGTCACCAACACATCCAGCAAGTCGATACGAGTCCGAAACCCGTTTTGGAAAAGTAACGTTTCGTGGTACAGATCTACATACTGTTAAATGTAGCATTGATCCGCAACATCAAAGACTTTCGTGATGTAATCGACTTTTGATCGCCTAAACGTGCGCTCACACCAACTAGCGATAACCACGCAAAATGAATCAGCTTTCAAATCAACGCTTCATTAGAATCACCTTGAAAGGTCACACTGTTTATCTCGAGGTTTCATCGCCTTCTTCAGTACCGCCGTCACCATAGCTGCAGCACCACTCCCCCCACATTCCGATGATAGAGAATTTGCCATCACTTTAGTATCAACGTCCACCAGATGATGAAAAGAACAGGAAACAAGATACCAAGTAGTCAGCCGCCTTGCAACGATGATGCTACAAGAACCCTATGTAAACTTGTTTGGAGCAAAAACGCATGCGTCTATAGTTGTCGGAGTCGTTCTATACTCTTTCCTTTTGGCCCCATTTCTTCGCTAATTCTTCACAGAATGACCTCAACGTACGCTCCTGAAGTTTATCGTATGGATGATTTCGACCTACTTCTTGGCACACGATACCGTCTCTACGATATCCAGCATAGACGGATGCTTCATCTGTACTTTCGTATCCGATTACAACCTGCCCTTTTTGACTTCAATCAGAAATTGCATTGCCGCCTTCGTACAAGGTCAATCGAAATATGCGTTACGCACGAACAAGAAATGATGTTCTGCTTCTTTCATCACCATTCCGTATTATCGGGAATCTTACGCCTTCGTGTCGTTTGTTTCTCTGAAAAATGATGTAGCAGCTCATCTTTCGCTATTCCTCCGATGTAGATTACATGTATGTATGGGATGCTTATGTGCTGTGAACATCAACTTCCGCCTGTAATTGTGTATGAATATACATGATCGTGTCGTCGTGAACTGTTTCTTGCTGCAAATAAGGTCCGTATACAGGGATATGATGTCGTTTTGAAACGTTCGATCGGAAAGGAACAGAGGCGTGCCATCGTGTGTCGTATTGGTATGTTAATGTAGTGCCGCACTGTTCTGTTCGGTACATCATGGATAAGGCTAGTGCTCAGCTATCGTATGGGAACCGAGCATGTACAGGGGTCAACAAAAGTATATGAATGGATTAAATTGATTAATGTGGGTCAAATGAAGTACAGAGATCAAATCGAGTACAGAGATCGAATCGAGTATGGGGATCGAATTGAGAGTGGGGATCGAATCCAGCATAGGGATTCAATTACGAGCAGAGTTCAATTAATGTGGGACGAAATATTAAGCAGAGACCAAACGTAGTATAAGGAGCTCCACAACTTCTCATATCACTTCACACACTCACGCTGTCTTGGAATAACGACAGCGGACGTTCATCAACGGAGGAGGCCAGTCTCAAAGAGAGCACAGCACTACCACCGACATCCCGAGTCAATGCATGAAGTCGAATACGATCATCAAAGTTAAGGAGGTTGTCTACTAGGAAAGTCAAGTAGAAAAGAAGGTACTATAGAAATCATCCCGTAAAAGTACGGTCTTACTTTGCTCGATGGATTCGCCGTCAAGTCTAGTTTCTTCTATGAACCTCACGTACGACAAACCCTGCTGAGTCCGTACACCATGGCGCCAATGTAGTCACTTCTGAGTTCTTTTCGCCCGCACAACGATCCGAAACGTCGTCAGACACTCCATCAATGCTGCGTGCAGAGATGAGCTTTGTGTGCGCTTGTAGGCACGGTCACCGAACTGAGCCCATATTCAACATCAGCACATTCGTGTTGAATCAGAACAGGGTCAAACGGCGACAAATGCTCAACCTCACAACTCTTAAGATTCATTTTCCCTGTATTTGCTTCTGTCAGCATAGCACCACTGTCATGACTTGTAGTCACCAACACATCCAGCAAGTCGATACGAGTCCGAAACCCGTTTTGGAAAAGTAACGTTTCGTGGTACAGATCTACATACTGTTAAATGTAGCATTGATCCGCAACATCAAAGACTTTCGTGATGTAATCGACTTTTGATCGCCTAAACGTGCGCTCACACCAACTAGCGATAACCACGCAAAATGAATCAGCTTTCAAATCAACGCTTCATTATAATCACCTTGAAAGGTCACACTGTTTATCTCGAGGTTTCATCGCCTTCTTCAGTACCGCCGTCACCATAGCTGCAGCACCACTTCCCCCACATTCCGATGATAGAGAATTTGCCATCACTTTAGTATCAACGTCCACCAGATGATGAAAAGAACAGGAAACAAGATACCAAGTAGTCAGCCGCCTTGCAACGATGATGCTACAAGAACCCTATGTAAACTTGTTTGGAGCAAAAACGCATGCGTCTATAGTTGTCGGAGTCGTTCTATACTCTTTCCTTTTGGCCCCATTTCTTCGCTAATTCTTCACAGAATGACCTCAACGTACGCTCCTGAAGTTTATCGTATGGATTATTTCGACCTACTTCTT